ATACGATAGAAGACCGCAAGTTCGACAAGCAATAGTTATTATTCTATTCTGCGTTTGTGCTGAGACAAGATCAGTCATAAGAGATCTCGAAGGTAAACCCTAATTCCACCGTATAGGGTTTTAAAAAAAAAAAGCTTGATATTCGATACATACGCGGTCAACAACTATTGGGATTTCTGTTCCAACAGAATGAAAAATAAAAATAATTAAATTTTTTTTGGGTGCTTCGTAAGGTGGAAAAAGATTTTAATATTATTTTTTTTAATATTATTGTTTAATTTTTTTAAAAAATATATAAATACATATTTTATCATTGTATTTATATATGAAATTAATGTATGATATATGTCACGAATAAGATACATTTTAACACAAATAATTAATTTTGCATTCACTTTCTTTCTAATTTTGATGGAATTATTTTGGTAAATTAGAAGAAAAGCTCATTCATCAACTTTTTCACCTTCTTTCTTTCTAATTAAACATGATGTTTTATCTATCCCTCTAACTTTCTATTATTCTAATTTTTCATTCTTCCATTTTTCATCATAGTAAAGGTAACATTAAAAAGAAACCCAACAATGAAAAACATCCATTTTTTTATTTACTAGTAATGTTGAAAATTATGAAATTCATAAACAAAAATATACGTCTCTTGTCATGTAAAGTACTACCATTATTTGAAGTCTAAAAAGTTTGTTTGAAAAGTCCTAGGTTTTTGTTTAATTGATTTATCATTTTAGATTACAAAAATAATAAAATAATAAATCAATTTTAGGAATGTCAAAGTGAAAATACGATATTAAAAGGTTTGCTTGCAGTTATTGTAAAAATAACCCCACTAATTATTCTGATGCCTGCCAAAAAATAATTTTAAAAAACATTGTTACACAAATTAATCTAAACAACGAGAACTATATTTACTTTTGTGTGGCATTAATATTATTTACTTTTTTTTTTCATTTACAATAAATTAAAATCGATTTAAAAATAACAAATAAAAATTACAATAGATCTATATAAAAACCACAAAAATAGGATAAACAATATATATATTGTTTACGTAGTCTTGAAGCAATTTGAAATAAATTATCGACACTATGATTTCATTGTTTTGTTAGATAGCTGGCAATTTTTTTCTAGGAATTAATTATCATTGAGGAAGCTATTTACTTCTTCCAAAAGCACGTGAAACACGTGCTTGTATAATTGACTAAGTTTCTCTCTGCATATATAAGATATTATTTGTGTGTAAGTATGATGGGATGGAATACGAGTGTGATAAGCGTACGGTGTAGAAGTAGAGCAATGACTTCAAAAATTGACTTGATCAATTAGTGTTACTAATTTAGTTGTGGGTCTCGGCATTTATTAGAACCCAACCCACTACATATTCAATAATTATGATTCATCAAATCAATAAAACATGTCAATTTTTTTTATGTATAAATAGCATTTCTCGTAAAAGTAATAAAGATTGACCGTAAATTTAGAAATACTAAGTTCGAATCTTGGTAATCCCTTAGGGTTAGGTTATGAATGGTGTATTCCTCATAAATCCTATAATTCTGGCGTTGATAACCTGTTTTTGACTTGATCGGAGGGGGACTAGTCGAGAAGATGCGCGCAAACTTGTCTATCAAAAAAAAAAAAAATACCAGTAAGTCAACGACTACACTATCTCTTTTAGTACTGTATAAAAATGAAAAATATTATACAACTCAAATAAAACTCAAAAAATACAACTCAAATATATATCATCTCATTGAATGAGTGTGGAATGAATAGGTCTTACTGAAAAAATTGACGAGACCTACTCATTGAAGGGATAATATGCATTTGAATTACAATTTTTTTAAATTCATTTGACTTGTATAATATTACTCTATAAAAATTATAATATTTAAAAGTAAAGTCATAATTTTATGAAAACTTAATTATGACACAAAAAATTATAATTAATTAAAAAATATTATAATACAATCACAAAAAATATAATTTTAAATATCAAGTTATACTTTTTAAATATCAAAGCTACAACCAATCAATCATAATAGTCGGTATTTTCTTTCAATTTGTCCCAAATTTTAAATAGAAATAGCCTTGGAAGGACGATGTGTGATCGATCATAACCTGTCCTTATTGTATTTACTTGTTTGGCATTCTTTTTTTTTTATTGAGTGAGATGGGAAGGGGTCGTCAAGATTCATTTGTTGGCATTAAGGGGGATAGCCAAAAGAGGGCAATTAAACGTTTCGAAAGGCAACTAACCTTCACATGGGCTGGCTTCCACATTGGATTGGACAGAGACAAGCAGACACCAATGCCACGCCAATCTCCTTATCCCCTCATCTCTTCTTCTCTTTTCCTCTCCCACCCAAAATAAGAAAGACTTTGATAGACATAGACCCATTTCTCTCACTCTCAACTTTTTTCTTTTTTCCCCATATTGTAGATCAAATGACCAAATTACCCCTTCGTGGGTGTTTATCACCAAATCTTATTACGGGTTGGGCAACCATTTTCCACCCTCTCAGTGGATATGTAACGGGTAAAAACCCACCTAAACTCTGCAGGCTTGCACATCAGTTTTCTTTTGGAAAAATTTTAAAAGCTATTTATATAATAAAGTACTACAAAAAAAAAACTTATATTTTTTTTACGATTAAGATTGTTTTAAATTTTAATTTAAAATTAATTCGATGACTAATATTAACTTTTCAAATTTAATAGAAAAAATAAACCTCTTAAAGATTTGTTTCGAGTAACTTTTTATATATATTTTTAGAATTTATGACTTTTCAAAAGCAAATTAAAAAAAAATAGTGTTTAAAACAAATAATACTTGTGTATATGACTGTTAAACAACTATCTACTCTAAAAAACTTAAACTATTAAAGAGTGTATAACTTAATTATTTATACTTCAGTACACTCTCTCACGTGCATACTACATTTTAGGCCTAACGTGTGAATTTTTTTGCTCTGAAATGATATTAAACAACAAAAACCTTATTTAGCTATGCTTAGCATAAGTTAAATTCCATAAATTGTAACAAACATGTAATAACATAATTTCTTTGAAGTTACAAAATATGGCCAGTGTCTCTTGCAAGCACCGGAGATGCTTTGAGAATATTGAGGACAGTATAGTAATTTGGCAAGGAAAAGTTTCTACCAAGGCCAGCTAAGTCGTCTCTTTCGAAATGCAAGTGGTCTGGTTGTGGCACCATGGCCGTCCAAGTCCAAGTCTAAGTCTTTTACAAAATATACATCACTCGTTTAAATCAGGACCTGGCTCTAGAAAAACACGTGAACGGAGGTGGGAAGATGGGAACATGTGTTTAACCTTTCTTGCTGAAATTAGTGGCTACAAGATCCAACATATTAGCTTAGATTGGCTTATCTCGAGTCTTTAGCTAATATTGGTGATAAGTTTAGCTTTCCATTCACGATAAATATTATAAATAGGAAATTACAATTATGACTCTCAAATTATGATACTTGTGTTAATTAAGTCTCGGCATATTATTTTTTGTGTCAATTGAATATCTGAATTCTCTAATAATGTCAATTGAATCATTCTTGCCTCCGTTCAATTTTTTAATAGAAAGTGGTGAAGCGTATCGCTCATGTGATACAAATGGTTGGAATAAACTATACATATAACCCTCAAACTAAGATTCTTGTGTTAATTAAGTCTCTGAATATTTTTTGTGTATCAATTGAATCCATAAACTCTTTAATTATGTCAATTGAGCACTCTCTGTCTCTGTTCGATTACCTAACGGAAAGTGATGAAGTGTGTGACACAAATGATTGGAATAAACTACACATATAGCCCTCAAACTATGACTCTTGTATTAATTAAATCAATAGATATTTTTTGTGTGCCAGTTGAGTTTTAGTCACGTGAGTGGTAAACCCTAGCGAAGGCAGACAAATGGACTCAATTGACACACGATTAGAGAGTTCAAAGTTCAATTGATACAAAAAAAGATTTAAAGGTTTAAGTGACACAAAAATCATAATTTGAGGATCATATGTATAGTTTATTCTATTTGTAAATGGAAAGGAGGAATGCCAAGTTCGAGTTAGCTTTATGTGCAAGGTCATTAATGAATAGTTTGGGACAAGTTTAGATTAATATGGGTTCAAATTTTATTCATCTACCAAATGAAGCGAGCTCGAATTTAAATTTATAGTTCTCTAATAAACCAGCCACCCAAATTATGGTTTATTTGGCTCATAAATGCACAGGAGATGGGAGCCTCCACCATGGTAAAATTGTGTATCGTCAAATGTACAGTTTTATAATATCTGATTGAATTCTTAATCTTAAACTTTATCTATTTGCAACATAGTGTTTGTTACTTATAGAACGTGTCATTTTTGATCTTGAATGTCGGTTTTGAGAATTTAAGTTTGTATACAATTTTGAGTTTAATTTTTCTAGTTAGAGTTTGAAATTTTTTTTTAATAAATTGAACTTAAACAAGATGTTTATAGCTGTCCCAATCCCAATTCGACCCGAGCACTTTTTGCCAAAATGAAAGAATGAGCCTAAACAAGCCTATGCTCGACTTAATTTGATTCATTTACATCTCTATTTACGCATGCTAGTGTATGATATTTACTCCCAACTTTAGAAAATTGGTGTATTGCATTTGGTAATACTCGGGTAAAATTAGAATGAAACAGAAAAGATTAATATCATCGTGGCAAGAGATGACACGAACAAGAGAAATATAGCAGCCCACGGGCCTCTATTCAACTTGGTGAACTCCGCGAGTTCAAAAACAATACCCGCTACATAAATGGCGCGGGAAACACACTTGTTACGGTTACTTCTTTCCCGCTAAAAAGCTCTCCCACACCGCACACGTTTTAATATCATTCATCAGCACAATTCTCTCTCATCTCATACCATTTCCCCCCAGAGAATTACAGTCTTTGAATCTGAAGATCCTGTTGGCCGATTGATTCGTCGGAAGCTCCATCATGCCAACCATCGTCGCACATCACTCGTCTCCGATGGCAGTAGAAACCCAAAAACCCGGGGAGATCCGGTCCAAAGGATGTTCCACTCCTCAGAAACGGAGATTAAGATCCGATTCGGATCGAAAGGACAGTCCGATATCTTTTACTCAATTGCCGATGCATTGTTCTCCGATGAAGTGGAAGTCGCCTCGCCGTTGCGGCACTGATAGCCCAAGAACTCCGGGAAATGTAAGTTCATTACTTCAATTAACTTGTCAATTCTTATTTTATGAGTATTGGTAGAAAATCATCATTCACTACAATAAAATTGGATTGATGTACATAAATTTGTAGGGAATCGAGGAAAATTCGGGAGATGCAATGGTGAAATCAAGCAAATCACCAGTGAAACAAAGATCATTGGATTATGATTCTGATAAAACTATATGGAATCCGAGGGGCAAGTTTTACATTAATTTTTCATTGCATTTTAGCATATTATCTATTTATGTTCATTTGTTTTACATTTTGATCAAGAATGTGTAGATATGGAGCAGTTGAGTGCAGTGAAGGAGGCATTGCACGTTTCAATGGCGCCATCTACAGTTGTGTGCCGGGAAGATGAGCAGAGTAGGGTTTTGGAATTCTGCAAGCAATGCATAGAGCAAGAGAAGGCGGGCAGTTTGTATGTTTGTGGATGCCCTGGCACTGGAAAATCGCTTTTGATGGAAAAGGTTAAGGAGGCTTTGTTTGATTGGGCAAAGGAGGTGAGCTCACTGCCTTTAATTGGTCTTTTTGTTATTAGATCTGAGTCATGGATAAGTTATTCAATACAATGCAACAATTGTATAGCTGAATTACTCTTCATTACTAATATGATTTATGTTTTATAGTTTTTTAATATAGTTCTATAGAATTCGTCATCTCTCCAGTCATTTTATACCGCTGATTAACACAAAAGGCATTCAACTTTGAGAGCCAGCCCTGTGTCTCTTCTGACAATTTAAAGCATACGTGTTTAATTGAGAAAGGAAATAAGATTTTCTAATTTGTTAAAAGTGGCAATACGTCATTGGACTTCTATGACCACAAACATACAAATGCTTCATTTGCAAAAGCTAAGTTTGTTTTGATGGGAATTGGCTATTTTGAATAAGCAATTTAAGTAGCTTAGTCATCTGTTAGCTATGCTGCTCCTACTATGTTAATGCTAATGCTAAATGATCATTGTGCTCACTATCAGGTACATTTTCAGCCACCGGATGTAGCATCCATTAATTGTACGTCTCTTACCAACACTGCTGAGATTTTCAGCAAGGTATTGTAGTCAATGGCATATTCATATAGATACCTGAACACTCCAAGCAAACATATCCTCACATTGTAATAGCTTTGGCAGATACTTGGAAATAATCAACCGCCGAAGAAAACCAGTTGTTCTAAATCGCCTTTACACCATCTCCAAAGCTTGTATTCTCAAAAGCAGCCATCAACTGGCACAAAGATGATGTAAGAAGCATACTCTCACTCATCAATAAGCATAGACTCCCCCTAATTCTGTACAAACAGCATAACTCTTTACATGCGTGTTGCATATTCTGCCAAGCAAACTTGTTTATTCTATGTTATTGAGAAATTTATATTTCCCCCAAACCGCTAGCTTAACTGAAATATTGGCGTGATGTTATTTTTGACAGGCTGATTATTGCTGATGAGTTAGATTTTTTGATTACCAAAGACCGGACAGTGCTTCATGATCTTTTCATGCTAACAACGTTTCCATTCTCCAGATGTATCTTGATAGGTAGGCTTGCTACTAAAAATTTCTTTGTCAAAAGTTTTTCTCAGGTGACTAATATCCATTACTTAGACTTCAGAGGGAATAACTAGGAAGTCATTGTGCACTAGCAATTCTCATTCTGTCTTTACTTTTTCAGGAATAGCTAATGCTATTGACCTGGCAGATAGATTTCTTCCAAAACTGCAGTCTTTGAATTGTGAGTTCTTGATTTAATATGATATGTTGGACTTTGTTTCTAAATTAGCTGTACCTTTGTTGACTAAGTTTTGTATGAAGTGGTTCAACCAATATGATGACAAATTCTCACCAAATAATGTCCCTCAGTTATCGTCAACGAGGGAAATTCTTGCAATGCCTGGTTGTTTATGGTTTGCTTTTTATTTTCTTTTCTTTTTATTTTCTAAATATTGTTATGTTTTCAGCTACTATCTGATAAAAAAAAAATGGAATGGCAGTATGACTTTGGATGCGAAGTTCTTCCCTTGGTTCCTTGCTGTATTACTTGTTTGAACAATCACTTTTCTTCAACATTTTACAATTATTGTCATTCTTTGCCCCTTCAGAAAGTGGTTATGAGTATTATTTGTTGCAATGCTCAGTGATGGGTTTCCTATGAATTCTGCTCTGTCACTATCCAAAGTATTCTCTATCAAATTGACATAGATTGAACTGGCTTCAGAGGCTGGCACTTATGTTTGGTTTCTAATGCTTTCTTGTGCTAGGCAAGCCCATGGTTATAACTTTCCGATCCTACTCCAAGGGTGAGATCATCATGATTCTTCAACAGAGACTTAAGGTACAATTTCTGCTCTACGTCCAGTGAGTGAATGGCTACAAGATATTGTTTTCAAAAAGAAGCCAAAGTTACCTGAACAAAAAGATATACACATCAAAATTCTTTCTCCAACATGTAGAATTCAGTACAATTTTGAATCTCTAGTAATTCAAGTTAGGTTTCAATTATTGAAACAAAAGTGGCAGAAATTAATTTTGTTACTTGCATAGCACAGCATCACAAATTGCAAATATAATGTTTGATTCTTCCAAATGGCATATTAACCCATTAAAATAATGGTTGGATGAAATTGAATAAGGTGCAGCTCGGTGATGGTAATTATTTATTATGGGATCAGAGATTAGGGGGTATGGCTTTTCCTCATCTAGTGTTGATACATTTAAGCAAAGTAACAGGGCCCTATGTCATCGTATCCATTGATTCCTTGAGAGAATAAGCAAATTGCAAAATTCCTTTAGAGTCTGACAACTCTTCCAACAGGCACTTCCTTACACTGTCTTCCAGCCACAAGCATTGGAACTCTGTGCTAGGGTGAGTCCTTTATTGTCTACTTTATTCTTTGTTTTAAATTTATTATGGTTCTCTTCACTTCCTTCATTGCCACAAATTTGGTGGGGCAACCATATACATGAGTTGTATTTTTACTCATAAATATTTGCTTGACATTAAGGGCACAAAATACCCTGGTTAAAGTCACCCATGAATCTCTTGCACCTGATCATAATTTGACACATTTCCACAAAAATATATTGAATTCATCTAGTGCAACGCTGTAGTGAGACTGACAATTCTTGTGAATGGCAGAAAGTAGCTGCTGCATCTGGAGATATGAGGAAAGCTCTTTGTGTTTGCAGGTCAGTATTTTAATTGTGAATACAAGGTGGCTCCAATCAACCCTCTTGATTGGAAACTTCCCAATAGCAAATATCTTATGCATGATGGTACACTAACTATAATATTTATACATTCTATACAAATCAAAGGCACATACGGCTTACATTCAAACAGCTGGTACATTTAGTGTGACATAATCTCAATTGCAATTATTCATTTTTAGCTGATCTAGCATGATCTTAGATGCAAAGGAATAGATGTCCACTCAAGGGTTAACTAGAGCCACCCTGGGCTCTTTGATTGTTGCTGTATTTTGTTTATAACCCATGTTGAACGAGTATTTGTGAGCACCAGAATTCTAGTCTGGTAAATGATTTCTGCTTATGTGTTATAAGTTATGCTTCAAAACTGTGTTGTGAGTTGCATTGTGTGCATCAGGAAGAGAAGTAGCAAGGTTTAATCCTTAACCCATTTCTTTTAGGAACTCTATATAAAAGCAAAGGCTATGTAGTTTGATCAAAATAATCCTTCAGAAATGCATTCATGGTTTGTCAAAAAGTTTTAGTCAGCATATTCTCGGCCACCTCAGTAATAGTTGTGTAATTCTTATATCTAATATGAGAAATTACCAAAAAACCAAGGTCCTATATTGTATAAATCTCAATTAGAACAAAAATGGTACACTTAAGCTTAACAAAATTATATTGTCCTTACTTTGCCCTTTTCATCTTATTCCAGGAGTGCTATTGAGATGTTAGAAGCCGAGCTAAGAGAATCTACCAGCAATCTGAATTTGTTACAATTGGAGAGGGGGTTTTCTAATCACCAGACCATTGGTGCATGTGAAATTTCAACAAAGCAAGAAAAAAATATTGTAAGCACTATATTGAAAATGTCAATTAGACATTTCAATAAATCGAAGCATGAACTTGTGAAACCGATGCTGCAAATGTTCTTAGCCTGTAATTACATTGCATATTGCCTCTCCCAATATGAACTGCTAATCCTGCTAGCCTTGCACAAAGAATAATAAATCAGCTATAGCTTTATGCATTTTTCTTCTGTTTTGCTTTCCTCCCTTTTAGTTCTTTCATTTCAAACATGAAAGGGTTTCTAGAATCTAGTCACATCTATACCCCCCCTCCCCTTCTTGAAGAACCCAACTTAGTGCTCAAATTTGATATGTTCCTTTCCCATACTCAAAATAATTCTCTGGGTTTTCTACTTTTCAAAAGTGCATTGTGTAGCTTTGAAGATTTTCACTAGTGGTTATGGCCCTTTCTTTTTGTATTTTCTGTAAGTCATGAATACTTCTGAAGGATATTTTAGTTATGGGTAATATTTGGCATGTAAGATCAGCACGTACTTAAAGCCAGCATGCGGTAAAAGCTTAACTGTAAACACTACTAAATTCACTTGAGTTATTTGGTACAACCACTATTAGAAGTGTTTCCAGCAAGCTAGTCACACATGTTCTCACATCACCAATTTTGTTTTACATAATTTATGATTCATAACACTTGTGAGCACATTGATAGAGAGAAAACTTGTGTGCATTGTTTGTGAAACCTATGCTTTGCTGTAGATTATGTGAAGTGACCACAGAAGTTCTTTAGTAATCTATAATGCTTTTTTAATGTTCCCTCTCAGTTTTAGTTACAGCCATACTTGCTAAATCTTTTGTATAGTTGATTCTACTTTTCAAAAAGTCAATCCTTTTTCACTTTTAAACTTAAATGACTCCATTATTGGTAATTGTCGTGTCCTGATATTGTTGATATTGTTTCTTTGTAATCTTCCTTCCTCTTACTAGCATTGAAATTGTCACAGGTGAGAGTTGATCATATGGCTATTGCTTTGTCTAAGGCATACAGATCGCCAATACTGGACACTATACAATCCCTCCCACATCATCAACAGGTGATTTTTGTGAGGAACATGCTTATCTTTACTTTGAGCAGGAGTTACTGAACTTTACAATGATAGATATAGGTATACATTGACACTAAGAATGATTATACTTCCTGCATATAGTGCCTTCAAATTTAAACTCTAGTTCACTGCTTAGACCAGCATCATTGGCTTTCTTCTGGTAGCCTTAACTGGGACTGTATTTTGTACCATTGTAATGGTGGCAAGGAGTGCATATTTTCCTTGTAGGAAAAATCATCGACCTGGCTTGCTGGTTGAAAGCCGCCTATTACGGTCAGGCATGTTAAACCTTTGTTCAATAATAACCTCTTCGCCCGATAAATATCTGTCTGCAGAAAAATGCAAGCTTTATTTCCCCAAGGGAAGGAATTGGGTCCAATATGTGATGCGACAGAAGTTGCTGTGAAGAAATTTTTTTTACTGACATAAAACTGGATTGAATACCATGCTGGCCAAGACTGGCTACCTTCTGTAGGAGGATATTACCACCACTTAAGTACAGCAAAGACTTTTAAACTTGAAGAGCCTCTAATAAAATGGGTTGTTCAATTGATTTGTCAGTCTCAAGAACCAAACTCTCAAGTGAGTGAAATCTCCGTTAATAAACTGCTCAACAGATGGTTTATTTCCTTTCACTGTGCCAGAAGAAAGCTTTTCGAACGTTGAGATGAATGAGAAGTTTCATTACGGCAACCCAAAACCATCAGGTTCTTGGTATTTATGATCTCTGAAAAGCTGTTTCTCATGAGGAACGAATCAAGATGCATTATACGTCATCTATGCTTCCAATAATAAAATGTTGAATCACATTAATCAATAATTTTGCATTGTTTGAATTCAAGAGCACATTAGTATTGTGTCCATTTTTTTTCATGAATTGGTGTACATCCACCAACATAGACCAGTTGAAATGTCAGAGAAACAGCAATGCATCAAATGAAGTTTGAGCAAGTATAATTTGCCGCTGTAGCCCTACTTTTTGTCTGTTGCTTCTGTTGGTCTTGGAAGATTAGTCCCTATGAACCTCTCTAAACCAATGTTTTACTGCAGATTATACTGTGCTCAGCTGTGAAGCTTTTTCGCATGGGAAGGAAGGATACAACTGTGGGGGAGGTATATTTTCTGCCTTTGTAACCAATAAAAGACTTGCATAAAAGTCAGCTTTCTAACTTTGTTGTATGGATGCAGCTGAGTAAATATTACATAGACATCTGTAAATCAACATTAATCCCACCGGTTGGAATTATGGAGCTTTCAACCATGTGCCAAGTGCTAGGTGACCAGGTAAAGGAAACATACATGGTCTGATTGATTATCTTTTTCCAATCTGATTCTCTGCACAAGATTGAGACTGTATAATGAGAGTTACAAGAAATGATTTCGACTGCAGGGGCTTCTTAAATTGGGCCAATCGCGAGAAGATAAAGTAAGAAGAGTCACCCTTAATATAAATGAAGCCGATATTACTTTTGCATTGCAGGTACATATACATTAATCTGAGCCTCCCCGATGTTCTGCATTTCAATTGCTTGGAGTTTTCTTTTTAAATTATCTTCTTTAGGGCCACCATATCTTTGTATGAATTAATTCTTTCAATATTTTGGAGCAGGGTGTTCGTTTCTTTCGGAATTGTCTTCAGTAATTTCTTACGAGGTTATGAACTCATGATTCTTCATCCGCCTATTGGTTGCTGTTTCATTTTCAATTATTTGCCCATTCCTAAACTAAAGGTTAGGAAGAATAGTTTTAGTAATACTTCTTGAAGTCATTAATTGGTGTCACTTTTGTGTAGCTAATAGTGATTTTTGTGAATATAGATCAGTGCTCTAGCAAGATCACCATTCTAGCAGATGCTGCAGTGAATGGATAGAAAGATCAGCAGTCTTCAAGAGCTTCTTCACTGACTGTTGTGTAAAGTAGCCATGCCCGCATCTCAATCAACATAATTTTTATAGATTATTAAAAGAACATCATTACGAAGAAAATTTGAGAAACCTTGTATACAGAATTATATTTAATTTGTAACAGGACTCCCAATGTTACTAATTCTTTTCTGAAAAGGTCCCTTTGATTCATTTGTAATTTTTTTTTTTTGGTACTATCCAAGGAAAACAACCCTGCAGCCATAACAGAGAAAACAATGGGAATTAGCGACTTAAATTAGCCATGTTGGGGCCATGGCTAATAGAAAAATAAATTGAAATTGTTACAACAAAAGTCTAGAATGGTAACAGAATCATGTTCTGGACTTCTTGCAACAAACTATCAAAGAGAACACATTAGGATTGAACAGCAATTGTCACATAATGTAGCAAATCTTTCTAACTCACAATTCCCTGATCACCATATCCATAGTTCCATGAAAAGTACTATGGTAAGAGTATAGATGATCAATTTGAATTGGCCCCGGAGAGTACAATATTCCCAAGTTCTTGCTGCAACTGTTTTTGCTTTCGCAAATCTTAAATTCCCCAGCATAAACACTTTTCTACACAAAGATCAAAAGCAGGTCTTCATCCACCAAAGCGTAAAAACTATACAAGATCAGCATCAACCAATAGGAAGCCATAAGAGGCCTCGTTTCACTGCATCTCCCCTGTTAACTGGGGCTACTGTACAAAAATTATATTGTAGGCAATTTGTGGAGACCATTAGAAAACCCTTGTTACCCGTGTAATTCATAATCCCTTATCTTAGAGTTGAAATTCAATCAGAATTATAGCAAAAGAAAGGGGCACAAAATTACTGCATAATATAATATGGATTCCAAAAACCTTGTCCAGACTGATATTAAAGCCTCCTAATATTAACAGTCTGATCCATAAAACAAAAGGTTGCCAAATAGTACCAAAATATAGTTCAAACATTCTCTTGCAATCCTCTTAATGCCACCTAGCAGGTCACTACATTGCGAGAACTCAATCAAACAAACCAGAAACAAAATCATCATCAGATTCCTCATCTGGTTCTTCCTTCTCCTCCTTGGCAGCGGCTGCTGGAGCAGTAGCAGAAGTAGCAGCAGCAGCAGCAACTGGAGCCACAGCAACAGCAAACTTGCTTGGGTCCTGCAAGTGTGTTGCTCACACAAGTCACAACTAATCATTTCTGAGGGGAAAAAAACAAAAGAACGAAACCACAAAATAATACTCTGGTCCACCTTAAATACTAACCTTTAAGTATTCTTTCACTTTCTCAGCCTGTGGGAATGAGTACTCAGTTGTCACGGCAATTGCCAGAACACTCTTGTAGGCATTGGCGAACATGTGAGGTGCTGCAGCAAGTGTTGGGTACGCAAGAGCCAGTGAAAGAGATGTGACCATGGATACCCCAGCAGCAAACTTCTCCATAATATCATCCTCTGTCAGATCAAGCACCTCAGGATTGAACACTGACCCATTCTCATAGACAGACTGGACTACGAGACCATAAGAGAATGGCTTTATGCCTAGCTTTGAAAGAAGGGCAGCCTCAGATGAGCCCACCTTATCTCCTTTCTTGATAAGCTCCACAGGGGTGATGATCTCCACTGTGCCTTTGTTAATCTTGGTTGGAATGTTCAGCACCTGAAAAGCAAATTGCATGAGATTATGGGAGCAAATTAAAATGCTTGGTCAGTTTTAGAAAGTAACCTGAAAGAAAGAAGTCTGAGAAGGATCAAGTCCAGTGTTTCCAGGGGGGACAACAACATCAATTGGTGCAACAAGGCCAACACGTGCAGGAGCTCCAACCTGTTCAAGTGAATATTAGAACTATATGAAGAAAACAAATGGAGATTACAATTGGAATAACACTTGAATCCTGCTAAACAAGCAACAATTACAATCAATTCCATATGATTGAGATTTCAAGCAATAACCACATCAAAAGACTGAACTCAATGAATCCAACAATACTGTGGGGTACAAAAACATCACATATTTTGTATATATATGTTCAATTATAATTGAGAAAAAAGTGAACCCCAACAAGAGAAAAGTGAGAAAGTAATTTTTACCTTAGTATAAAAAAGTGGTAGTTTAATTCTTTGCTTTGTAATAGCTTTTGTTGCACAAAACAAATACTACTTTCTGATTTTTTGCTTAAAAAGTCTTTATCTATATCATAAGTCACCTCCGCAGGGGCGCGGGGGGAGGGGAATACTTGTCATTCCTAAAGACCCAGATCACAGACGAAAAACAAATGTGAAACTTCACTATAAACTAACTTCAAGAGTCTTGAATGATGCTTGGGATAAACAAGTTACTGAATCATAATTAAAAAAGAAACAATATCAACTTCGAAAATGAAGCTCTGGAACTTGAGAGGCATACCTTGTACTTCGAAACCTCATCACTTACTTCCTTCAATTCACCCTTGGTAAATATCAATCCCACGTTGCCCTAAATCAAAATGAGGAAACTAATAAATAAACAATTATAGCATCATAAAATCTGCATTAAAATCAATAACCACTAATACCAATTTGAAAATGATTTGTGCTGAAAGAATATGATTAATAAAGAGAATAAAACATGTTCCCATTTGGTCATATCTTTAAAAAATATTTTCTGTTTTCTGAAATACAAGGAAATAACAAACCATATAGAAATCAAAGCTTCGGAAAGTGTTTTCAACACAAAGCAGTTCTGAAATTGTTTTTCAAAGCATCTGAAATATTTTTTCAGTCTTTCCACAAACACAAGAACCAGTTCACATAAAAAAAAAATTCAAAAAACGGTCCAGAGACTAAATTAAATTCCCATCTGATGTTTTTAGAACTGGTTTTCATTTTTGAACACAGCCCTGAAAAGCAAAATACAAAGCAAACCGCCATATTGTTTCAAAGAAAAATAAGCGAATGTGATAAATCTATTTACCAAAACTAGGGTTTTCAAAATCATTCTGAAGACAACAACAAAAACACTATACCGAGAGAAAATTCCGCATAAACAATGTTTCTCAAAACAAAACCCCTTGCAAATTCAGGAAAAAAAAAAATCAAAACCTATTGTCCGCTGATCATAATCCCAAAAAAGAAATAAAAATTGCACATTCAAATCATATTTGCCATGATCCGAACTTTTTAATAAACATCAACTCTACTGAAAAGCCCTAATAATAAGGTCGAATCCAGTACAAAGAAATAACTTTGCGTGAACACCAAGTAACCACACTATTACCTACTGTACAATATTAGGCTCCCGCTTCTTTTACCGCACTTTCTCAGCAACCAAACAACCAAAAACCCCCCAAAAAAGATAAAAACCCGTTCAGATTTCTTACCACCAGAAGAGGCACGAGACTCAGGTAGGCGGTATGGCCGGTCTTCTCAGCATGAATCTTGACGGACCTCTTCATCATTGTGTTCTTACCCATCAACACCACAGATTCACCACGTAAACCATGTCTTATCTTCTGAAGCTGGTTCGATCCCACATTATCAGCCCCGACGATCAGGATCTGGGAGTACATATCGAGAAGCTTGCAAAGCTTCTGGTCATACATGACCTTCTTCTCAGTCCTAGATGTTTTGACCGCCATTGTAGATCAGAAGACTTTTTTTTTTCTTGGGTCTGTTTGGTTTGAGAGAAAAAGTTAGAGAAATGTGAGACAGATAGAGGATATGGGAGGATATTTGTAGTACTGTTACGGCTGAGCAGAAACCCTAATAAGGAAAAAGGTTTCTACGTGAGAGAGGAAGTGAGATGCGAGTCGGTCATGCAATGTACGTGGTGAAATATGGGAAATATTATTGATATGATCGGACGGTCCAGGTTCATTTACTTTTTACCTTTTTTTTTCTTTGCTTATTTCTGGGAAATTTACTCTCACGTGTAACTCTCGTGCTCCTTTACCTCATTTATAAAAGGGTTAATTACAAAAACGTTCCCTTTAATTTTGAGTAGTTGACATTCACTCCTTCAGGTTTTAATTTTAACAAATAACACCTTTTAAGTTTGACTATTTTACAGTTAACTCTAACAATTAATTTTAAACCATAAAAAACAATGAAATTTAGAAATGAGAAATTCTCAATTTTGTTGAAGAGACACAATTACCCCTAAAGAGAGAGCATGCGCGTGCGTGCGTGCACGCACACACATATGTGCGTGCATTGGTGCTGGGTGAAAACGAATGTGAAGGTAAATATATTGTGCAGTTTGTTGGTGTTAGGCTAAACATATGTATTTTTTTCTTGGTTTTTTTGTTTTTTTTTTATTTTAGGGATAGAATTAGTCTCTCGAGACAAAAAAAATAAAAAATAATATACAAGATGAAAGGTGTAATGATATTTTTTTTTTTGATAGGATGGGAAGTGTAATGATATTTTTATGTTCCAACTATTGTTGTCAATCAATTTAATTTGTTTCAAACTTGGAGGGAATAAATTATAGCATTTGAAACTATAGAGGAATAATCGTAATAAGAGTTATAATTAGAGGACACAAATTATATTGTATTACATGATATCATTAATCAATTATATATAAATATTCTAGCGGGCGTCATGTGTAATGCACAATATTTTCAATCTTTTTCATCACAATTCTATCATCCCTATCTAGTACATACTGCCACCTCCCACCCCCTATTGCAACCGCTCATTCCCACCACCATCTCGTCCCGAATATCCTTAAAAAGTTATTTATTATTGTGTTAAATTTAAAGATGATGACAAATTTAAATTTAAAATAACTTTGCGGGTGTAGTTATAGAAGTCACGTGGAATGATTTAATTTGATGAAATTAATGCATTATTATTAAAAATTTTGACATCATAAAAATCTAGTATTTTATGAGAAAAGTAAACCAAAAGTAATAACAAGTTTGAATGGGGTTGAAAGTTTAGTGAAAGTAGATTTCTAAGGATGTTGATTACTGATAAAAAAGAGTGAGTGATTTTCATTTGTAAATTACAATATACTTAAAAATTAATATCTAAGATTTAAAGATCATACAATCAATTACATTTAAATAGGATATAAAGATAAAATTAAAGGACTCTATCAAATTTTATAATCATCAATATTTTTACATTGAATAACTAAAATGTGGGATTTGTAGAGTTTGTTTTTTTTTTTTGGAACAGGGGATTAGTGGACTTATCCTATTTATTTGTTTTTTTTAACAATACACAACATGCGTTGCATATAAATATATTTAAATAATAATTATTTTTCAAAAAATTAAATTACATCTGTAATTTATTTAAATAATAAATTATGTGTTGAATAATTAAATTTTATATAAGTTATTACTAAACCTAATTATTGATCTACTCTAATATTCTTTGAGTACTTAACTTGTCATTTTTAGGCATCTTCCCTACTTCTTTAAATATTTTATCTTTTGTTCATAGTGAAGTTTTATTATAAAATTGTCATTTTTGAGTATTTGTACATCTAAATATATTATTATCTTTTATTGTCGAAGATATTGATAAAATTGTAAATTATTATTTGTATCATAATATTATGATATTATTGCATAAAAAATTTTGAATGTGACATATATTTGATAATAAAATTCAATTTGACAACAGTATGTATATAATAATAGAATATAGATTGAATTTTATTATATACATATATATATATATATATATATTATATGTAAGTGTATTACAAATAAATGAAAGAGTTAAAAGAACTTAGAATTCAAATGCTATTAATAAAATAGTTTAAAAGAACTTACAAAAATCTAATAGGTATAGAAAATATTAAAAATTGGATGAAAGCAAATATGTAGATATAATTGACTTTACAATAATAATTAATAATAAAATAAGAAATTAATTTTTTTTACAGATACAGACATTTATAAATAGTATAGAGATATAAATTAATCATTCACACAAGGGGTAGTCCTTTTGACTTCCTTTTCGGGACATGTTGGATAATTGATTTTATAATAATAATTAAGGATAAAATAAGAAATTAATTTTTTTCAAGGACATTTATAAAGTAGTGTAGAGATATAAATTAATCTTTCACACAAGTGGTCATCTTTTTGACTTCCTTTTTGGGACACGTTGAATATCACATTTTATTTATGAGTCATTTTGTTCATTACTACTCGAGTTGGTGATTTACTGGTAAGTCGTATCTATTTAAGGTCGTTCTTGACTACCATATAGTTATTAAATAGGATTTGATTTGCGGGCGTAACGCAGTTTGTTGCTTGGTATTGGTGCTGCTGTGGTGACGTCTGCTCTTCTAGATTAGTAATTATGAATCAAATTGAACATTCTACAACGGGAGACACTCATAATCATGTTAAAGTTCATATTAAAATTCTTGAGAGACAGGTCCATTGGCACAATGTGGCTTTGTGCAGACTTGAAGCATTGTAGAATTATGATAAAATTACCACCGAGTGGAGTGATCCAATTGGATATCGGACGAACTTTTTATCTCGAGGTTAAAAATTTAAATTTTGGAGTCCATATTGAAATTTGGTGGTTGACCACTATGCTAATCTAACCAGATTCGTTATCGAGAAGAGTAACGAGCAAGATTAGAGGTCTTCTGATCCTATCAGTTAAGGTTTATCTGAATGTTCTTTGGACGTTCTCCTTTATCCTCACCTTTTTTTTTTTCGGTAAAAAAAAATTAGGACTAAATTTAATTCAAATTGATTCTTTTGGATCTAGGATTCAAAAAATAAAAATTTTAAAAAATCTAGGATTCTGTCAAGGTAAAATATCCTTTAAACCCCAAAGTATTTGTATAATATTTATTTGGTCTCTAATTTTTTAATTGTGTCTATTTGATTTCGAAGGTTCTTAAATTATATCTATGTGGTCCAATTCAAAATATTTGTGCAAAAATCGTTAACGCCTCTAGTCATGCACCAATCACATATTTTTTCCTCCCATTTATATCACAAGTTAAATCATTTAATTTTTGGTTAATTTATGAATCAATATAATTGTATTTTAGGCATTGTTCACATACAATAATATACATATATTAATTTTTTAAAAGTTTATGTATTTTGAGAATCCATATAATTAAAGAAAAAAATATTATTTAATATAATAAAATTAATTTTTTTGACACTCAAATTTTATGTTACATCATTATGCTATTTATGGGTTATCACTAGGTAAACTTTTTTTTTTTTTTGCCGGGGGGGGGGGGGGGGGAGAATTATAACCGCCTAAAATATTAGATACAAGCCCTCTAAATTTGTATGCATAACATTTAGACCTTCTTGCTTTATTCTATCATTTAGTAAATTATACTCAAACCCTCTCAAATTTCTAACTATATAATATTTAAATCATTCAGGTTTAAAATATTATACTTAAATAAAAAATATTCAAATTAAAGATAAAATATTTTATTGAAATAAAATTAAAAATAAAAATTTAATTTAAAAAAATTTATAATTAGTGTACAATTATACTATTTATTTGAATAAAACTAAAAAAATCAAACAATAGGTCAAACATAAATAAACAAAAAATCTTTTATCTTTAATTGAGATAATTTGGCCGTCTAACAAATTTTGTTAGTTTTGTAACTAATAAGGAGTTTAAATATAATATTTTAAATTTAAGAGATTTAAGTGTTATGTGTCTACAAATTTTAAAAAATTTGAGTATAATTTATTAATAGACCTGACATTGACGGCCTGAGTCTAATACATGTAATATTTCAAAGTAGGGATAATTCGTGTCTGAAGGTACGATGTAAGGTCAGTAAGAGGTGTAAGGTCAGTGAGAGATAATGAATTTGAGGTAGGGAGATTTAATGTGAATAATTTTGAGAGAGATGTTGTTTGCCATTTAATGAGTTTATTTAAAATCGTCGCACGAACTTATTGAAGTCGATTTTATTTTATATTATAATTATAAATATCAAAAATTTAAATAATTAAATAAAAAATTTCAAGAATCTAAACGTAATTCTCCCTCCTCCTTTTTTTGGGTTAAGTCATCACTAGCTAAACCTTACTCCCCTTTCACTTTCAAAATCTCTACAGTTCGAGTAAAGTTTTGAACAATCAACCCACCTTCCACCTCCAAAAACAAAGAAACAAAGTCAAATATAGACAATTCAACCAGCCTCCATTCCAATTCCAACCCATTTTGCCTCACAAAAATCGCATGCTCTGACTAGGAAAAATAAATGGAAACCCTAACCTTCTCTCGCCGTCCGGTCTCATTCAATCCTCGTCCCTCCAGTCTCTACAGTTTCCGCCGACAAAGCCATTCAACATCTCTCACTCTCTTCAATGCCCCTACGGGAAGTGTCCGTACGCTCAAATGCTCAGCTTTCTCACTTCCATCATCAGGTACCTAGATACTAATCGATGAGTATTCAGATTTTTCAATGTGGGTCGTTTGTTTGTTTGTTTGTTTTGTTTATAATTGATGATGTCCGTGACTGGTATTGTGCAGTCGACCACTCGGTGAAGTTCAAGGAAGCTGCCAAGCATGGGAATTTGATTCCATTGTACAGGTCTATATTCTCAGATCACTTAACTCCGGTCCTCGCTTACCGGTGTTTGGTTAAGGAAGATGACAGAGAAGCCCCTAGCTTTCTGTTCGAGTCGGTTGAGCCGGGTTTGACGGTTTCCAATGTTGTAAGCCCCTTTATCAGCTTGTTCGTCTCTGGATACTAAAATTTGTTTCCTCTGTGGTTTCGAAGTACTTTTGCTTGCTTCAGTTTAGTAAACTAAAACCACATTTTTCTTTGAAATGCAACATAATTGTTTATTGAGTCTAAGTTTGTTTTAGTGGTTCTCTCTGTTTTGTCTCTTTTCCAGACACATTTACATGAAAGATTCACGATTTAATATCTTTTAAGTAATTTCTAATTGCCAATTAAACAAATTAAAATTTGTCTTTTACTTTTATGTTTTTTTATTTAAATTCTGAGCATTTACCGGGAACTTGGGGCCTTTCTTATATCCCTAATGAAATTCTCTATTGGTTGATTGTGGTAGGGGCGATATAGTGTAATTGGGGCACAGCCAACAATGGAAATTGTGGCCAAAGAAAATATGGTTACAATTATGGACCACCATGAAGGACGGAGGACAGAGGAGTTTGTGGAGGATCCAATGGTTGTTCCTCAGAGGATTATGGAGAAATGGAAACCTCAACGTATCAATGAGCTCCCTGAAGCATTTTGTGGTGAGACATTTGGATTATCAAGCTGCCTACAACGTAGAGTCACATTGCAGACAGTTTGTCCTTACACTTTGTTATACATGATACTGAACTCCCAGCAATCTAAGAAAAAAGGAAAAATAAGAAGCACCTTTGTTGGTCTGGCATTTACATTAGTGAGGCATAAATTCGAGCTTAATTCATCTAAACAGTATGCTGACTACTTGCATTCAGCTTCAACCTCTTCAGTCTTAGCATGACACTTTAGTTTCAACTAGTTTTAGACAAGGTGACCCTGCCATCTACAGGCTTAACTTTTGTATGGCTGATTACACGCGCAATATGGTGTTTGTCTACAGAATCAATCATGAGTTGTGCTTCTGAAATCTGAATTCTTATGTTTCTATTGGCTCTAACTTTGATCAGTTACATGCAATGTGCTTGAGAGGAGGCACATCTTTAGGACTTTCTTTGTTGCTTTCAACCTGCAGGTCTGAATAGTTTTCTGCAATACAAAGGAAAATGTTTGTCAGGGATTCATTTATCATATTTTGAATTCATTCTTGGATTAACACTCTATTCATGTAGTTCTAACCGACGTAATATATATGTTGTAATCTTTGCTCTATTTTCAGTTGTCTATTCATCACTGGACTGCAACTGGCAATTTTCTTTGGAATATTTTCAATCATTGGTAGTTAAGCATTCATTTTTCAAGTTATTTTGCTACAATGTCTGAAGTGCAGTTGATGTTTTTTGCTGCAAAATGCGCGAACACACACACACACACACACACACATATATTTTGTTTTTTGGTGAAAAAAAAAAATATATTTCCAGCAACAGCATCATTTTCGGTGTCGTTGCAAAATGCAAAAAACAAACAATTTCTGTGTTGACCTGTTCAACCATAACCAAAATTCTCATTTCATTCTATTAATATAGCAAATGATGTTCATTTTGACAGGTGGATGGGTAGGTTATTTCTCGTATGATACTGTGCGTTATGTAGAGAAGAAAAAGCTGCCATTCTCAAACGCCCCGGAGGATGATAGAAACCTTCCTGATGTTCATCTTGGCCTTTATGATGATGTGATAGTGTTTGATCATGTGGAGAAGGTTCCCTCATCATGCCCTTTGAATAATTAGTTGGTTTTGAAAAGATGTTCGTACAATTTAGTATTTTTTCCTGTATGTTGCTTGCCATTTTATGTCTGTGCATAATTTAGTTGCATGCTTTCCAGGAATACTTTTACTAATGTTTTTCTGATTTAAAATGAAATTCATCTGCTGAAGATTTTTGCCCACAGTTTATTTAAATCGGAAAATAAAAAATGACCTATGTTTGGATTCTGTCTGATATCATTGAAAATACATTGCAATTGAATCCTAAAAGGATTAATTTTTAGCTATGTTTCAATTGTTTTTCAAATACTCTCCCAGTAAGATGCTTAGTAAATAAAAGTATATGTGCCAATAATTGTTTTTCTTTCTGATGTACGTGCTGACGGTTTGAGAAACTAGCAGCTTTGATTGTTAATTTTATTTCAAGCTGATTGGGCTTTATATACATAGAAATTGTTGACTTCTTGATATGGTTATTTTCCAATGTCAGAAAGCATATGTGATACACTGGGTGCGATTGGATCGATTTTCCTCTGCGGATGAGGCCTTTAAGGATGGAATGAATCGGTTGGGAAGTTTAGTTTCTAGAGTACATGATATAATTCCGTGAGTGATTTACTTCTTTTTGAATGTCCACATGATTCCTACGGATGATTTTGTTCACTCTTATAGTAACTTCAATTGGATTGTCTATCTCAGGCCAAAGTTGGCTGCAGGTTCTATTCAACTATATACTAGCCTTTTTGGGCTGTCACTGAAGGAGTCAACCATGACAGGAAAAGATTACCAGAAGGCAGTTTTAGAGGCTAAAGAACATATCCTAGCTGGGGATATTTTTCAGATTGTACTAAGTCAGCGCTTTGAGCGGCGAACTTTTGCTGACCCATTTGAGGTCTACAGAGCATTGAGAATTGTCAACCCAAGTCCATATATGACTTATTTACAAGTCCGGCTGCTCTTCCTTTATGTTTTTTGTTTAAGTAGTTCATTTTTGGTTCTGTTTCTGACTTCCATTAAACATTTTCTGTGATTAGGCTAGAGGTTGTATTCTGGTTGCTTCAAGTCCAGAAATTCTTACGCGTGTGAAGAAGGTAAACTAATGTGATAAGCCGGACTAATAGTCAATGGAAAATTTCATTTTTCAGATGTATTGCAGTTTCAAGTTGATCAGCATAAATATGTGGATTGTTTTATTGTTACAGAGAAAGATCACTAATCGACCCCTTGCTGGAACTATTAGAAGAGGGAAGACTCCTAAAGAGGATTATATGATGGAAAAACAGCTTCTGCATGACGAAAAGCAATGTGCGGAGCACATTATGCTGGTTGACTTGGGAAGGAATGATGTTGGAAGGGTTTGTACTGCTACTATTCTAACTTTTTAATTTATTCTGCATTGTGCAGAAACTCTTGTTGGTAATATGGCCCATTTATGAACTCCTAATGTTACATATGCCTTATCTTTGTTCCCTTACTTCTTTGTTGATTTTCTCATAAAATTTATATTCATTGCCCACAACTATCTTGTGACTAAAACAGGCTATCTACGCAGGTCTCTAAACCTGGTTCTGTGAACGTTGAAAAGCTAATGAACATCGAACGCTATTCCCATGTCATGCACATTAGTTCCACGGTAAGTTCTAGTTGCAGTTTATAAAGTTAGGTGTGATAGATTTTTTTTTTTAAAAAGGTGGCCTAGTGCACGAGGCTCCCGCCACTTTAGAGTTTTGGACAAATCATATGTATGCAATCTTACCTCTGCGTGTGTGCGGAGAGGCTGTTTTGGTTGGTAGGTATGATTTGAATATGGGCCAAAAGAGATTTGGATAGCCTTTAATATTATATGCTATATCACGTGTATTTTTTTTTATCAATGATGTATCCTATATCATGTGTCTTTGTGGAATAGTGATTATCGTAGGATGTCACTCGTGCATGAATCACTAAATTGGTAGATATCAAGTATGATGGTGCTTTTCCTTCACAGCCTATAGCCAAAGTATTCTTGTAGGTTTTAAAACCATTTAAGCAATGTATGAGGAACACACTAGTTTATTGAATTTTTTGGAATTCAATGCATTTGGTCACTGTTTACACCTACATTTGCAGGTTACTGGAGAGTTACTTGATCATCTTACCAGTTGGGATGTTCTACGTGCCGCGTTGCCTGTTGGAACAGTTAGCGGCGCCCCCAAGGTTCTGCAATATTTGAACTCTTCCCATTATAAGTAGCAAATGCATTAAGAATTCTCTGTTGTCTATGTAAAATATAGGTATGCTCTTTGGTCTTCCCAATACCTAGTGCCATTCAAGCTGTCTAATCTCAAGTCCAAAACAAAAACTGCCAAAAGCAGTATATCCCAAATATTCAAGGTAGTGGGATAATGCTCTAGCACTTGTTTGTAACATGCAATCAGCATGCACAAATGCAGACCTAGGTCCAAACAAGGGAATTTGACAGAATGCTATTGTAGTCTCCATCCCCTTTAGTCCACGGCATTTACTTTAGTTGGGCCACACAAAGGCCCGTATTTTTATATTGAGAAGGGGACTCATCATCGAGTGAAATATGCATGGAAAGGGTACCGGCCCGTTCTTTGCGACAAGAGTTTGCTTATTTTTTCGTATATTCAGTAACGTTGATGCAAAGTGTAGCCTTGCAACGGTGTTTTGACAAAATTCATATTGTATTATTGTTACACTGAAGTTAGCCAGCTATAAATTGTGATACTTCACGTGACTTTAGAGCATGTACTAAAACATCATATAGTGATTAACTTATCATTGTGGCCTCACGAGTAGTTCATACGTGGTTCTTATCATCAGCTGTGCCGCGATACAGGTGAAAGCCATGGAATTGATTGATCAGCTGGAAGTCACCAGGCGTGGGCCATATAGTGGTGGATTTGGAGGCATTACCTTTTCTGGTGATATGGACATGGCTCTAGCTTTGAGGACCATTGTATTTCCAACTGGAATACGTTATGATACAATGTACTCGTACAAGGATGCGAACAAACGACGAGATTGGGTTGCCCACCTTCAGGCTGGGGCAGGTATAGTGGCTGATAGTGATCCTGGTGATGAGCAGAGAGAGTGTGAGAGCAAAGCTGCTGCTCTTGCCCGTGCCATTGACCTTGCAGAGTCATCATTTGTTGGGAAATAATATTTTTGATCCGCCTGTAGAGCTAGTTGTGTTTTCTGGAATTCCCATGTGATCGAGTAGAACCGGAAACATGATTTACGTGGGCGACCTCAAATAATTGGGATAAATCTTTGCTGGGTTGAGTCGAGTTGAAACTAAAAGAGAAGATTTAAGATGTCTCATGTAAGGGAAAGATTGGACACATAATGACTGATTTATCTATAGCCTTCAAGTGGAATGTCTTTGAGCCAAGAGTCTACAGCCTCCGACCTGCGGTTGAGTTTGGTTTGCATCTCTTTTATCATCGTGGACAAAACACATGGTAGAAATTGATGAGCATTGCCTTTTTGGTGTACGAGGTTTCAGAGCCTGCTAGGTTCGAATCATCCTTAAAGTTTTGTTGCTATAGCTTTGCAGTTTGTGTTTACCCCAAAAAAAGGAGGTTTTGTAGTTCTTATGCACTCATCTCTTTTTTATCTTGTTTTGTTCTTCCTTTTTCTATCAAATAGGGAAAAACGTTCTAGGCTTCAAGAATGTGGATGCAACAGTAAATTCAATCACATGAGGATTTAAGGTCGTGTTGTTGGATGAGGCTGTGGATGGTACTGAAAAATTTGTATCAGTTTGGTTGAATCAGATTTTGACATTTTGCCTGTTTTTTCATATTTTTTTTTCCCCAGATGAGTGTAGAATTTAAGTGGTAATTGTGTCCCATTAAGTAAGTTAGGACCCTTTACCAACCGAGCTCGTTTGGACCCGTGGCCGGTAGTTAACTTGAGCCCACCCGCGAAGCATCTTTTTCACGCGCAGGGGTTAAATCTAAGGAAATCTAAGGAAGGTGGTTTCAATGAGCATTTTCACCCTATATAATATTGAATATTTAATTAATGCCAACTTAAGGCATCTATCAAGGACTCACTTGCTCGTCCCATTCCTTAAGTTAACATGACATTTTAGAGGTTCAACTAATGCCCAGCTGTTATGAACTAAGGGTAGACATGAGACAAAAACACGACTTGAATTTGACATGAAATTAGTGGATTAAAATTGATTATTTTTCAACATGAACTCGTAAATGACACGATCCATTAATACGAACAATAAATAGGTTAAATTAGTATCAAATACGAACAATAAACCTGATACGAAAATAAGTAAGTCAATCGACACGATATGATTAATTAAATATGTTAGATTAAGATTGATTAGTGTTCGACATAAATCTATAATAAAACAATACAAATTCAACATAACACGACACGATTGTCATCCTACAAATTATCATGTGAGGTCGCACTGGGAAAGCAGCTGCACAGAGGGGTTTATATCCATATAATAAAACACAGTCATGTTTACTCAAAGTAAAACAATGTTTCATATCCTTTAATAACGGCTTGGATGATTTAAATTCAACGGCTTTTACATTGCGATTTAAATTTAAATGTTTTAACCACAATCACTCAACCTATTTATATTTAACTTTTAATGTATTTTGCACGGGAATATTTTAGTATATTTATATAATAAAAATAACTCAGAATCGCTTACATTTAATAGCTCATTTTATAAAATATATTTTAATTTTTTAATTATAATAAATTTATGTATTTTTATTTTAATCTTTTAAACACAAAAAAATTATTTATTTATATTTTAATTATCTATTTATATTTAATTACTATAACAATCATATGTAATTTGCCGTTAAATTGGACGAAATTTTTTACGTGCACCGCTTGTAATCTATAAATTATATCCTAATAATCTCTAACTCATGCGATGCGTATGTGATAAATTCCGTCGAAATTAAGCGTGAATTTGGACGAAAACGTCTATTGTGACAAATAATATAATTCAGTGGTCGAATAGATATTTTTTTTTATCTTGGAAATTTTTTACTCGGACACTTACTGATTTTAAAAATCCGATCCAAACCAATGGTTCTAACAAATTTACGACAGCGAAGGCATCGTCCCTGACACCAGTTGACAGATCTCTCTCTCTCTCTTACCGGGAGGTTCCACAGATGGAGAGCTTATGGCGATCAGTAACCCTTGCGAACCCCGACCCCTCAGACTACACCGGCATCGAGTTTTGGTCCAGCCCCGAGCGCACCGGTTGGCTCAACAAACAAGGCGAGTACATCAAGACCTGGCGTCGCCGGTGGTTCGTCTTGAAACAAGGTAAGCTCTTGTGGTTCAAAGACCCATCGTTCGTCACCCGCGGTTCTATTCCACGTGGCGTGATCACAGTGGCCAATTGCCTCACCGTCAAGGGTGCCGAGGACGTCCTCCACAGGCCCTTCGCTTTCGAGCTCTCCACGCATAGCGACACCATGTACTTCATTGCGGACTCAGAGAAGGAAAAGGAAGAATGGATTAATTCGATCGGACGGTCCATTGTTCAGCACTCGCGGTCGGTTACGGATTCCGAGGTCGTCGATTACGATAGCAAACGATAGGTTAGATTCAATTGGGTGAGCGGTCCTTTGTTCTTGTTGTTGGGAATTTTTTTTTTTGTTTTTGTTTTTGTTTTTGTGAATTTTGTATGCGTAGTTGTTTTTATCTTTGTGAGGTGGCTATGTGGTAATGTGAACTTGGATATTATCTGATCAAATGCTTGTTTTTATGAATTTCTAGTGGTTTTGCTTGGAATTGGTGGAGATATTGTTTCAGTTTTGAGTTGAAATACTTGGATGGGATTGAAATTTTGTCAAGTATTGACTGAATTTGCATAATCTTGGGACTTAAATTAGGGTTTTGAGCATGTAGTTCCTTTTTTTTTTTAAGGCATCCTGACAATAATATGTATGGAGAGATTACTTTACTATTGCTTTCAACAATTCAAAAGATGGCGTTCCTTTTTAGCAAACGTTTCGCATCACATAATAAGCTTTTGTCTCTCCTCAATTCCAACAGCCTCATTTAGTTTACATAACAAACAATCTTTTAAACAGAATCTAAGAAAAAGTATTTGGAAACATAATAACATAAACTTGGCTGCATATGCTGTATGAAGTATAGAGAGATTTATGTTCTTCACACATTACAGGCTTCATCACCTGTATTTCCTACTTTTTATATGATTTTAACAATCTGTGTACTCCTGCTGGATAAGACAAAAAATTCATATTCATACTCTGTTGCATTATTAGAAGTAATATCAACGTAAAACAGTATCAGAGGGTTGTTTAACCTGTTATCTATGCAGTGTTCTTCATTGCATTTGGGCTCCTAGAAATTTTTCTCTGATTTTAAGTAGTTCCCTCAAAACATGCCTCATGTCCAACCTATCATGTGAAGATTTTGCTGAACACGAAGTCCAATTTGAAAAACAGAAATCAAGCATTCTTTTTGTTCACTTTTTGAGTCACTCCCGCATTCAACTATATCTGTTGAATCTTGTCCCACTTCTTCATTCAGAGAAGATTGAGCTACGATCTCCATTACCTGATCTGACAATGACTGTTTGACAAAGTTGTGAAGGTTGAAGCTATCTTTGAATCGTTCGTCAACTGGGCTTCTTCCGGTGAACATCTCCAGCAAGAGAATACCAAAGCTATACACATCCCCTGGAGTCGATACCTCCCCACCCACGCCAAACTCTGCAAAATAACAGAACATAGTTATGCTGTCACAGAACCAATTTGTCAACACTAAAGGGTCCTTGAGGAGAGTCATAGAAAGAGTTACCAGGAGCAGTATACCCAATGGTTCCTTTGATCCCAAGTGAGCTGAACTGGTTCAAACTAGCTCCCTTGTTGAACTTTGAAAGGAACCTTGCCAAACCAAAATCACTTACATGAGCAGTCAGATCATTGTCAAGAAGAACATTGCTTGGCTTGAGATAACAGTGAACTACAGGGACTTGGCATTGAGAATGAAGATAATGCAACGCAGAAGCTACATCTATTCCAATGTTTATTCTCTGGATAAGATTTTAACCTCTCCGTTGTGTTTGTCCAAATTCTGGATGTAGCCACTTCTCCAAGCTGCCATTGGGCATAAACTGGTAGACTAAAGCTTTGAAATCCTTTCCCTCAAAATCAGTACTTGAGCAAGCTGTTAGGATCCTCACAAGGTTCTGATGCCGAATATTTCTTAGCGCTTGACATTCAGCCATAAAGCTTTTGGAAGCTCCTTCTTGCTGTAGGTTGAGTACCTTAACAGCAACAGTTGTTGCACCTGGTCCAAGAGTTCCTTTATACACAGCACCAAAATTACCTAAGCCAACTATATTGCCTGAAGAGAATCCACCAGTCGAATCAAGTAGCCCTTTATAAGTAATCGTTTGGTAGAAGATGCCAAATGAAGGTGTGGAATAAAGTTTCTTTTTCAACTTTCCTCTTGAGAACAGTAAAAGTAACGGTAACAATAGAGCTAAACAAGAAGAGACAATGACAATAACGAGAATCAAGTTGAGACCAACATGTTTCCTTTTTTTCGCAGGCTTGGGTCCATGACATGGGTGCAAATGCAGCTCTTGGATCCCCCCACAAAGGTTATTGATTCCAACAATTTCAACAGCACTTGCATTTTTGAACACTCCTCCTATGGGTACCTCACCCTCTAGACGGTTGTATGATAGATTCAGATATAGCAAAGAGGAAAAATTAGCAAGATACGGAGGAATCTGTCCGTACAAGTAGTTGCTGGAAAGATCCAAGTCATGTGAACCTGTCTGATCCAGATTAGGAATGGTTCCTTGGAAGAAGTTGCCTTGCATACCAAGTAGTAACAAGCACAAACAAAGCCCTAGCTTGCTTGGAATCTCACCAGACAATTGGTTGTATGAGACGTCAACTGCAAGAAGATTTGTCAGGTTTCCTGCTTCAGCTGGTAAGGCACCAGCCAAGGAGTTGTGAGACAAATTGAGGAATCCAAGAGATGAAATACTAATGAGTTGTGTAGGTATGCTGCCGTTTAATTTATTTTGAGAGAGGCCTATTTCCCGCAGCTACCTACAATTCTCAAAACTTGAAGGTATGTTTTCCTTCTAAGTTGTTATTTTCCACAGAGATTCAACAGTTGGCTCATGTTGCCAAAGGAAGAGGGGATCTGAGCAGTCAATTGGTTTGAATCCAATAACAGCTCTTTCAAGTTTGCAAGCCTCCCGATTGAAGCTGGAATGTCACCTACTAAAAGGTTTTGCTCCATACCAAGTACAGTCAAACCCACTAGGTTTGTGATGTCTGTAGGAATGCTGCCTTCTATACTATTTTTTTTGAATATTTAACCAGTTCAACTGAGTTGTCCGATTGTTTATGGAGGTGGTTAACTCTCCTCCAAACAGGTTGTGGCTGAAATCTAGGAATTCTAGCTTGCTGCAATTGGCCAAAGAACTGAGGGAGTTTAAATCATCAACTGCACCACTTCCTAGTAGATTTTCAGGAACATTGAGGGAAAACAAGGTCTGCAGGTTTCCAAAACTCATGGGATTTCCAGTGAAATTGTTGAATGGTATGTCGAGTTTCTGAAGGTTTGACACATTCGACAAAGTATTTGGGATGACTCCTGTGAATCTATTCCCTCCCAAGAGAAGTACTTGAAGACTAGGAAAAGCGAGGCCAATGTTGGTCCTGAGATTCCCAAAAAAGTTGTTAAAAGCCAACTATATGGATTTCAGTGATGACAGATTGTAAAGTGAGCGCGGAAACGCACCAGAAAGATTGTTTACACCCAAGTGAGAAGAATGTCAAACTTTTCAGTTGGGCAATGGAATCTGGAATCTCCCCTTCCAAATTGTTATATGGCAAACTAAGGTGCTGAAGAGACGAATGATTTCCAAAAGAAGCTGGGAGTTTTCCTGTAAGATTGTTGCTTCTAAGATCTAAAGTCACTAGACTTGTCAGTGTGGTCAGCTCAGAAGGAATCTGGTGTGCGAGGTAATTGTGATCAATTGCAAGATTTAAGAGGGATCGAACAGCGAGATATGTTCACTGGAATTTCCCCTCTCAAAAAATAATAACTAAAGTTCATGTCTTGAAGCCTAATCAAGCGACCCAACTGTGGGGGGATTATACCAACGAAGGAATTACCTGCAAGGTTCAAAGTTCGGAGGAACGAGAGATTTCCTAGATGGGGTGATATGGTACCAACAAGCTACTACCCTACGAAATTCAATCCAGTGATCCTTTTGTATTTTAGGCCACATTTGACCCCACTTCATGAACAGAAACGGATAGATTCATTCCAAGAGGCCAAGATCCCAAGAGGATCTTCAGTTAGTTGGGATTTGAATTCAAGCCATGCAAATTGATCAGTCTCATTGCAAGGCGTGGTAGCTGAAGCATGTTCTGAGTTGGACAAGATGAGATATGAGATAAAGATGGCATGAAAGGTTGCTGAGTAGACTAGACTTACACTTATAGAGGAAGCTCCTTTTGGGAGGGAGGGAGGGAGAGAGAAAGGGAGTAGCCTGAGATGGTATATTCCTCAAGCATGTATTAATCCCGCTGTACAGCATAACTTCTCTTTTTTTGATTACACGTATAATTAAGCTATTATAAACATTAATTTTCAACTTTAGAAAAAGAAAAAGATGATAGAAAAAGGTATAAAAAGCATAAATGAGACAAAAGGAAAGTGAAACTACCGTAGGTCATATTCCAACAACTTCTTCAATTGAATCTCCATAATAATCTTTCTTTGGGAGTTTCTTGAGGAGATGGGTCCTCCATTTTTCCATTTCCTGAACCCACAGCATTGAATAGCAGACATAAAAGGGTGTTGAAGAACTGAATTGAGCAAAAGTAAGTGTGTACTCACCATTTCAAAGAACTCAATTCTTTACAGTATACATGGTTGGATTTGACACCACCGATGGAGTGAGTATGATCATCAATTTATTCTCACATTCTATTCTATATTGGAATTTATAAAAAACCAAATTATTCGATAATAACTTAGAATAATTTATTTGAAATGGATGACAATATAAAATAGAGTGATTAGAAGTAGTGCAATATCTGAAATTAATTCACCATTGTTATTTTACTAATTTTTTTTTATTAAAAAATAGCCATGTTTCATTGCAATATTTAGCAATGTCTAATTTATTTTAGGTACAGTCAACTTGTATAAATTTTTATTTTATATTCATTTTATTAGTTAACTAATTTTTAATTATATTTCTCTTTATCTTAAACAAATAGCAAGTGTCATTACATTTGATTTTTGTATCTGACTTTGATTAACACAATTTTTATTTACAAAATTTTAATTATTATGTTGTATCTCAAAATACAAAATAAATAATTTTTAAATAAACATATTTTAATATTTTGATAAGTATTTAATATACTACTATTACTAAATAAATATTAATAGAGCCCCGTATCAAATTTTAGCCTAGAACCGCCCCTGACACGCACAACAAAACCCAAAAAGAAAATTACATTCATGTTCAAAAATACAAAGTTTTTTTTGGAGGGTGTTGGGTTGGGGAAGGAATTCACGTGATCACGTTTATCAAATTGATAGGTAATCCAAACCAATCATACAAAGAGCAATTATACGAAGAGCATGATGGACCTAGAAGTTCAACCAATGTAAAACACACGAAATGGACCTTATATGTATGGAAAGTTTTCTTGTAGTGATGGAGACTTACAAGGTCAAGCTCACAAACTTTAGCACTTAATCAGTAGCCACTGCGAAAGGGATGACAAATGTATAGCACAATGAGATTGATCCAGTTGCAATTTCATCAGTGCTTTCTAAAATCTAGAGCTTCTGTTTCCAAAAACAAAAAAGATTTCTTATCTGTGTGATCTATGCCGGCGATCTTCATCAACCCCTCTACGACGATGGGATGAAGAATCTCTATCATGAGCTGACCTCTTGTCTCCTATCTTTTTATCTCGGTCTTCTCTGTGATATGATTCTGAGTCATGCATTCTTGATCCCTTTTGCTCCTTCCTATCACGATCTTCTCTAGAATTTAATTCAAAATCATGCCTTCTTGATCTTTTCTCAGTTGCTCGCATATCCTTGTCTTCCTTGTCGATTGTTCCTCTCTCCTTTTGCTCTGATCGTTTCTCCAGGCCTATGCTGTCTCGATCTCTTGACTGTGAATGGCGTTCCATGCTCGCTTCAAAGCCCCTTGCTCTGTAACTTCTTGCATCTTTATCACCCAATCTAAGCCCTTCCTGAGTAGCAGACTCAGCAACGCGATTGGACTGGCCAGATCGTTTTTCATTTCTCATAGAACCCTCAAACTTTTCATGACCCCATCTTGGGTTTTTATTATCCTCGGCACCCCAACCTGTGTTTGCAGCTCTCTGGATTTAAGGAAAAACAAAGCTTGAGTAATTAAATTATGAGACAACAGGAACATAAGTACAGTGCTTTGGATTGCATCAAATAAAAGTGTAATGCTTCAAGGGGAAAAATTTGGATAATCTGAAAAGGAAGAATTTTTTTTTAGCAGAAGCCAGCTTCCTATAGTGCCTTTCACAAAATGCAACCACACATCAAACTAAATGTTTTCACTAAATGCACCAAAAACCAGAAAAACACTACACATGCTTGAAGTTCTGTGAATAGGTCTTGACATACAATTTGACAAGATATATCAAATTGTAGGAATTTTGATTCCAGCTAACAACCAGTCCACCTCCACTTATATTCATATGTTAGGGCAGCAAGCAACAATAAAGTTTACCAAAATGACTATGTAGAAGGCAGCTGCACATGAAGATCACACTTAATGACAATTCAAGATCATGATTCACATTGCTGATCAAAGTCAAACTCAAAGCTAACTAAATACATCGATATATACTTAAGAGACATATGCATATCAGATGCCACTGGCACCATAGACATGAACATTCCAAAAAGAGGAAAACCGTATCTTTGTTATAACACAGGTTTATTGATGAAGCTAGGCCCACAATTTAAGCTGCCAAACCAGAGAAGATGGCATCAATTAATAATACCTAACTCACCCAAGAAAGAAAGATGAATAAATCACCACAACATATCCATAAAACGTGGACAGCAAAATAAGAACTTTGGATGCCACTTGAAGTCACCATCACGTGATGCAAATATGCACTTATGTTTGCATTGACTTCAAAAATATAAGTTCACAACATAGCCTATAATCTCCTATAATCATTAAAAAAAACATATGAAAGACATAAAATGAAACCTAAAACAATTAGATAAAAAACAAAATTAAATAATCCAAGTTCCAGTAATATACAAATGTCGTCGTCATCCTTCTACAGTCATCAGATCATTGAAATTAATCTTTATCAGAGTAAATGGGATCAATCTCCATGGCTCTAGAGTTCAATAAACTCGATGCATCTACCTAGCGAATTTTTTAAACAGTTTCACTACTCTCCTGAACTGCATATGCTAAATCTGATGAGTGCAAAATGACACATATGAACATCAGTCACATAGACAGAAGATAGACAAATTATTCAACAAAATCTAGGATATTGATGTAATTACCAATCACAGGTCCTTGTTTAATTAAAGTGGGCTCATTGGTTTTGGAAAGGATAACATAGACCCGTTCCTTTAAATTAGTCCTTAAAACACTAACCTCCACAATCTTATCATTCACCCAACGTCGAAATCCATTCATTGGGGGAAGTTCACCAATAAAAGGTTGCTTTGAAGGCCAACCTTTAAAGAGCCTCCCACATATATTTTCATTCTTCATACCAACAAATAATAGAAACAATATTATTATGAGAAAAAAAAAAATTTATTATCGAGCTACCTCGGCAAAGCATGGGCTGGAAATCAGATAAGACGGGACTCATCAGTCATCACTAATGTGATTCAATCTCAAACACATGTTGTTAAAGAAGAAAATACAAAATGCAATCAGTTAATCTGTCTTTACCACCTCAGCAACGAGCTGGTGTACAGTTTAAGTAGAGGACAAGAAGAGATTAAATTAGTAATTATCCTCATAATGCTTTACTTTCAGATCAAGGTGCACGTGATTGAAGTGCAGCAACAGGAACAAGAATAAAAGTGATAGTGGCACAACAGTGATGCCTATAAACAATTATATATCTTACTTGTTCATCATGAGAAAATTTGCACCCAGCTCCACGGTTGCAGTCACCTCTTTGGAAAGCACGGCAAACACCTCGTGCCTCCCTCTTCTGCTGCACTGTCTCTTCATCTTCTTCTTCTTTCTTTTTATAATTTCCAGCATGATCAACCCTTATAATTCGGCCAAGGATTTGAGCACCATTCAAATTGTCTGTGAGGTAAATAGGAGGAGTGAACAAATTTGGTTACAGTAGTCTGAAAAAAATTATCCATACAGATACTCTTTATGCAAATGTCTTGTCCACACACACATGCACACACATACACACATACACACATGCACACATACATAGAGAAAGAGGAGAGACCAACCCACGGCAAGATTAGTACTCCTTTGATCCTCATATGCAACAAAAGCAAATCCTTTTGATTTTCCCGTGCCTTTATCTCTAACAAGATTAACATCAACGATCTCCCCGTATCTGGATGTCACACAATCAGAAAAAGATCTCATAGATGAAACGAAGTAAATATTTTACAAAGATGAGGAAAGCCAAGATAATTGCAGAAAGAGCATACAGGAAAAGACGGCATCACCAAATAAATAAAGAAAAGTTGTTTATGCAGCCAAATCTCATTATACAAGCTAAAATTTTCCTACCAGGCTAGCAAGATATTGGTTTAAAAAATGTCATTCTTTAGATAACAAAGTGCTATTTTGTGAAAAGAAAATTTCATAAACTATGCATTTTAAACTAGCCAGATCTTTATGAACAAGAAGACCTGACACATCAATCTGGCTACAGCTAGTCAAACTAGCTTCAAAGAATTTCCAAACATCATGTCCATTTTGTAATGTTCAGGTAACAAGTGCAACTTTTGCACCACCATTGTTCATCCTAGAATTCATCCTCCTTCCATCAGCAAGAATTCTTCTATTCGCTAGACCATAGAATCTTTTGAATAAAATCATCTTTCGTCATTCAAAAAGTTAGACTAATTTCCTTTAAAAATTTGCAAATTTGCTGTTGAATTCCAAATTTGATATATATATATATATATATATATATATATATATATATATATATATATATATATATATATTTAATATTCACTACAGTTGTAGGAAAGTTACTGGAACCATGTTTGAGCCTCTCATCTTTCTCCAATATCTAATCATTCTCCAAGCCCAGTCGGCAATAAAGTCCATAATCTCAGCACAGTTAATCTTTAATCTTAAAAGTTTGACCTAATTATGTCAATACGTGATTAAGTCTAAGTAAACTGAACCTAGCAATTTTCCGCAATCTAAACATGAAAACACGGTAAAATGTGTGTATTTGTAAAACGACTACGCTTGATAGACAGTATATCCCTTCTTGCTTGATTTTATGTATGCAATCGAAATTCAATATCCATGAAGTTCAGTATGATTGGAGTTCTTCAAGTAAAATGGAGAATCAAAACACGCATGAATTATAAAATTGAACTGGACTCACTGTGCGAATACTGCCAGAAGGTCGCCTTCTGTGAGCTCGAACGGGATGCCGCCGACGAACACGTAAGCCGAGTCTTTGTATTTGGCGTGCCATGATGCTTCTTCGGAGATACCTAGAGCTGCTTCTTTGGCGTTATGACTCTGAATACGTTTCACCAATGTCAATGGATTCATTGCTCTGATCTAATCCCCCAAAAGTTGAATTTTCCCCAATACTAGAATTTATTCAGAAGAGTCTTTCAAATCCTAAAACCTAGAAGATCAAAAAAACTTACTGCAAGGAAAATATTAACAGATGCGCGACGAGCTCAGATCGCACCGAATTCCGAATCTCTCCGACACAACTAAAAGACCCGGGAGAGACTTTCAAATCCAAAAACTATTGAAGCACAGGAGAGCTCAAGGGTTTCTAAGCCAATGTGTCATGTTAGTTTCAGCGGAGATGCAATCGCGTCATGCAAAACGACGTCGTTTTGTGAAATAAGGTTGCTCTCATTTCCAGCAGAGCACTCAATTACGAAAAGAGTAATCCTATAAAACCAAATTTAAAATCCCAAATAACGCCTTAAATCAATAAGAATCATTCGATCAATTGATCTTATTTAAAAACATTGATAAAACTTACTCGTCAAGTCACTGTTCATTTGGGATGCTATTTGAAATTCAACTTTGAATTGCATAATATTTTGCTTATGAAAAACTATTGCTTAATTTTAATAATATAATGTTATTTGAATTTAATTTATTAATCTAATTATTTGAAATTATAACTTTTGTGGTTAAGACAACAAAATTAGATAAGAATAATGACCAAATAACTAAGAGTGAATTTAATAACCATTTTTTTTTTGGTCAAATAGAAAAAATAATGGTGCGTTTGGTACGTGTTTTTTTTCAATGCAATTTGTTTTGAAAACAAGCCCGAATTTTGCAAATGAAAATTTGATGTTTTAAAAAATACCAAAACTATTGTTATTTTCATTTTTAATGGAAACAGAAAGGGTGGGGCTATTCTCATCCCTTAAATCTATTTTTTCTACCTCATTTAATTATCTTACTTCAAACTACTAAATTCAACTCATTACAAACGTTTCCTCATTAATTACTAAGTTCATTCTATTTATACACATTTAATTAAACTATTAAATATATGTCAAAGAAACTTAAACAAAAATAGTAATTGAAGTAAACTTTCAATGTCTCGAGATAATTTATATTATTTTAATATATTTTCACCAATGTCTTTGAAATATTTTAATTAATATTTTAAAAATAATTATTAATTTTTATAATACTTATGACATATTTTTTGTACTAAAATAATATATCAAAAGGAACTTTTATTCATTACTTATGTAGTAGGTTGATATAAAATTGAATAAATTTAGTTTTTAATTAGTAAATATAGATGAGATGAGTTTAATAATTAATGAGGTGAATGTACCTTCAAGAAACTAAAAGAAGGGAAACAAATAATTCAGACATATTTGTTTCATTGATACAAATTACATATCATGAGATGACATTTCATCTAAATTTGCTTGAAATCAAAGATGTTATGGTCCACGAATGAAAGGAAATGGCGAGTATGGTTTTCTCTTATTTTATCGGTAGTTATTAGTAGTTAAGCACAAATCTATTATTAATATTTAATATTTTTTTATTTGACCATTTCTAATTTCTTTTAAATACTATATTTAAGTGTGTTTGGTACATGGCAAAATGCAATGTAAGATCCAATTTATTAGCTTAATTCACTAATCCAAATTATTTGAATGTCTCATCAAATATTAAGATTTATTTATTACTAATTTAATAACAATAAACAAATTAGTTAATAAATTATCATTTTGATAAGCATAACATTGCTCTACAATAATGAAGCAAAGCCTCATCTATAAAAAAAACTTCAAATCCACCCACTAATCAGCTCGCCTAAGACCGACGGTTAAGAATGTGTAAGACAATTTACGCATACTTCAATTAATATCTTCCCGTTTTGCAGCAGCCGACACCGGAGTTATAACCAGCGGTAACGGCCAAGTTTCAAGTTATCTACATAACATAAAGTCAGTGAATCAGAATGCACAAGTGGTCAACTTCACGTGGGTTGTATACCATTTATCAAAATTAATTCATCTACCCTTCAAATCTCAACCCTACTATACCTGCCATGCAGTAATCTCTACAAAACAGTCATCAATTTACCCTTGATTTTATTTTTTTTTCCTCATAAAATTGTTATTTTTATCTATTTCTCGAGATTAACAGTTAAATTTTAAGATCGCAGATACCAACTTTATTATCCCCTCCCTGTAACACTGCTCCCTAACATTTGTATGAAGAGTCTATACGACTATCTCTACTCCTTATTTAAACTCTTACTTAAATTTAAATTTGAGTAAAAAATAGACTAAAAACAAACTCTAATTTTTGACTCAAACTTATACCAAATAAAAAGAGACTTAATTTTTAACTCAAATTTAGACAAACTCAAATATTTACTCAAATTTTCAATGGTCAGATTTCACTTTTTTATAAGACTCGATGACCATATTTTATCTCCCTTTAAATTTGAGTTTACCCTTCTTTAAATCTGAGTTTGTCCTCCTTTAAATTTAAATTTAAATTTATCTATTGGAGTGTCTTGTACCAAATTAAACTTATACTCATTTTTTTACTGAAATTTGAGTTTAAGTTTGGATCAACATTAGAGATGATGTTTTTTATGCTATTTCATTAAAGTTACTATAAAAATAAAAATGAGAGATGAGGTTATTTACTTAATCACTCATGGCCTTTAATATTTGAAATATTACACACAGATTCTCTGATGTTTGTATGTGTATAACACTTAGATTCCTACCGGCAATGTTCGTTAGTAAATTTTACCCAGACCCTTAAAGTTTGTAAGCGTGTAATACTTAAATTTCTTAAGTTTAAAATGTTACACTTAGACAAAAAATATTCAAATCAAATATAGAATATCAAATATTTTAAATTTTACAACCAAAATTCATGTTCTAATATATAATTTACTGAAATAAAATAAAAAAAAAATCTAATTTTTTCTTAAAAAATTATAATTAGTATATAATTACGTTATCTATTAAAATAAAACTAAAAAATTAAATAAAGGGTCAAACTGTAATTGATACAATATCTTTTAACTTTAATTGAGATAATTTGGCAGTTTAATTTATTCGTTTGAACGACCAAATAAAATTTCAATAGATAGTATAATTGTATATTAATTATAATTTTTTTAAAAAAATTAAAACTTTATTTTTAATTTCATTTCGGTAAATATCATAATAGAATATGAATTTTGATTGTAAAATTTAAAATATTTAATTTTTTATCTTTAATTAGAGTATTTTCAGTTTAACTATAATATTTTAAACTTAAAAAATTTAAATATTATATGTTTATAAACTTCAAGGGTCTAGGAGTAATTTATTAACGAATGTAAAGCATAATGTATGTATATAAATTTTAGAAAATTTATCTGTAATATTCCAAATACAAGAAGATTTGATGGATCAAGTGACAAACACAATAATTCCCTCAACAAAGAAATAAACTCGTGAAAATAAAGTTGAAAAAGTGCGGTAATTTGGTTAAAAAAAAAAACTCTTTAATATCTGGCTATCTCCTCTCTTCTTTCAGCACCAACCACCTCTCTCTTAGCTATATCCCCTGTTCTTTCAGCACCATCCATCCATCTCTCTCTCTCTCTCTCTCGGTCAGAGCAATGGAGGTCTCATGGGAAATGAGTGTCACAGATTCAATCAACACCATTTATCTTCTCTTCTCAGCCTACTTGGTCTTTGTAATGCAGCTTGGCTTCGCCATGCTATGTGCAGGCTCAGTCAGAGCCAAGAACGCCACGAACATAATGCTGACCAACGTCGTCGACGCCGTCGTCGGCAGTCTTTCTTACTATCTATTTGGCTTTGCTTTCGCATTCGGCGACGGAACAAATTCAAACCCATTTATCGGTACCCAATTTTTTGCTCTCAAAGACATCCCTACGAGCTCTTATGACTACACATTCTTTCTTTATCAATGGGCATTTGCCATAGCTGTTGCTGGTATCACCAGTGGCTCCATAGCTGAACGTACACAGTTCACTTCATATCTTGTTTTCTCTTTCTTCTTGTCTGGGTTTGTTTACCCAATTGTGGCCCACTGGGTTTGGTCCTCTAGCGGTTGGCTCAACCATGGCTCTAGTGGGTTGTTTGGGTCAGGTGCAATTGACTTTGCAGGAAGTGGGGTGGTTCACTTAGTGGGTGGGATTGCTGGGCTATGGGGCTCCTTCATAGAAGGCCCAAGGGTGGGCCGCTTCGATGCATTTGGTAAGCCCGTCGCAATGCGAGGCCACAGCGCAGCTTTAGTGGTGCTTGGGACATTCTTGTTGTGGTTTGGCTGGTTTGGGTTTAATCCAGGCTCGTTTGATAAAATTCTAGTGTCTTATCCTAACGCCACTGATCAAGGTAACTGGACCGCTATAGGCCGGACGGCGGTCACCACCGCACTGTCTGGGTCAACTGCCGGAATCGTAACCCTGTTCAGCCGGAGGCTTCTAGTGGGCCACTGGAATGCTTTAGATGTTTGTAATGGAGTGCTTGGTGGTTTTGTTGCAATTACATCAGGCTGTTCGGTGGTTGAGCCATGGGCTGCTATCATATGTGGGTTCATTGCAGCTTGGGTTTTGATTGGACTCAACATCTTAGCACTAAAGTTGAATTTTGATGACCCTTTAGAGGCCACTCAATTGCATGGTGGATGTGGAGCTTGGGGTTTGATTTTTACGGGGCTATTTGCCAAAGAGGAGTTCGTTATTCAGGCCTATGGCCCAGGTGTATCTGGGGTGGCACGACCCTATGGACTCTTTCTGAGTGGGGGGTGGGGTCTGCTAGGAGCGCAAGTGGTTGAGCTTTTGGCTATTGTGGGTTGGGTTAGTGTCACAATGGGACCCCTTTTCTATACTCTTCACAAACTCAGGATTTTGAGGATATCCGTTGATGATGAAATTGCAGGACTTGATATCTCCAGCCATGGAGGCTATGCCTACACTACTCATCAAGAAGACACAGGGCCTCGTTTTTATAGCGAGTATGTGCGGATACAAAATGAATAATAATTCATCGGCCCTCTCTTTCTCTCTCCTGTCTCTCTCTCTCTCTCTCTCTCCCCCCCCAACACACACTCACCCCCCTTCACAGTCTGTTTATGTAGAAGCATCAAATTTCAGTGAAGATTCTTTTCTGGCCAAACGTTATGGTCAATTGCTTTCAGCATTGGGACTTATCGATGAATTTCATACAGCCTGTGAGCTGGTTATTTCAGTTATACACATGATGAAATTTGCATTAAAATTATGTACATGTAGATTTGTCTCGGTCCTGACAGTTATCCTCGACTCCAGTTATATACAAGCAGATTTCTCAAGAGTATCAACATTCATCCTCGTCTCGCATGAAAATCATAGGGAATATAAACAGGATCCGGAACAATAAGAGGCAGCTTTTCTATGTACATGAATAGCCTCTGCAAGTTTTCCCTTAAAACAATGGATAAATCAACTATTTCATCGTTGTCAGTGCAAATCCAAAGATCACCTGAGTTTACACGTCTGAGGCTATCCCGACAAAAGGGACACGACTGTGAGCGCTCACGCCTGCAGAAAACATGAAGCAGCAGATCAGGTCAGGTCCAAATCAATTGTTGAAAAGGTATATTCATGTTCTCATCCAACAACAATGTGAACACATTAACAATTCCAATCCCAAGTTTCACTTGGGTCATGGGTGGTTCATCAGTTTAACAGCATAAACAATTAAATTCAATAGTCTCCATGCTGTACAAGAGGAATCACTTGGAAGTATTCAGTGCAATGAGGGAAGATGACAAAGTACATGAAAACACAGCTTTGTAACAGGAAAACCTAGTGTCAAAAACCAAAAGTTTCCTTGGCTTCCAACTAGATCAACCCCCCGATTTGTGTGACCAATGCATCACAACTACAATGGCAAAACATCTAAGCGACAGAAAAAAGATATCTGCTTCTGTGTGCTCGTACGCGCGCTCGCACGTGCGTGCATGTGTGTGTGTGTGTGTGTGTGTGAGAGAGAGAGAGAGAGAGAGAGAGAAACCAGCTGAACTCAAGTAATAGGGACAAGGCTTACTTGGGTTCGGAGATTAGCAAGTGAAAAAAAAAAGAGAAAAATCCTAATGATCAAACACAGGGATAGTAATGTTTATAGTGTAACCTAGTCTTTTTTCCATTTAATACCAACGGTAAAAAAACCAATGGGTCTCACACTAATATTTTAAATGGTCAATTGAATGTTATTCAACCACATGGACCTAACAATTAGATTTGTTCATTTTTGTTTTGAATTGAACGAATGAATGAGTTTATCATTTTTTGTAATCTAAGTACATGCTATTCTTTTCAAATATTACATAAAAATGGACAGAAAGAGAACAAGGAACTTACCAGTTGCGAAAACACTTCAAGCACAATGAATGGCTGCAATTAGGCAACACAACCTTTGTATTCATTTCCATGCAAATTCCGCATTCATTTTCTGTCTCCCAATCAGTTATAGAAAGTTTTCCCTTGTCCACATCATCTTTTCTTGTGTACCTGTGCAAGCATGTCTCTTTCTGCTTCCTATCTTCCAAATCAGTAATCCCGGTTTGAAGTTGCAGCAAAGAGGGAAATATTATAGCTGTTCATAAAGAGTCAACTTGTAAGAACATAAATAGTGTAATGACAATACACAATTCGCAATTTAAACCAATCACTTAGAGCAAAAAATTTTTAACAGTAGAGCTTCAACATTGTCATTTACACAGATCCCACTCACCATAAAAGTCTCTAATGCTTGCTTTCCTTTCATATACAGACATCGTGGTTTTACCATCGGTGTATGTCTGCATCATTCCACAATTTGCCGCATGCCAACGAGAAAGTTATATAGGAATTATATTATTGTTGAAAGGAAGGGTTTATTGTGGTTCAAGAAATATTAAGGATAGGGAAAAATACTAGCATAAAAGTAAAATCTATGAATTTACCTGATAAATAAGAATCCGAAGGAACCCAAAAGTACCAGCAAGCTGACAATCAGCCCACTGAACAAGAAAAAGAAATATGTGTGCAAGGGGACTGTAGGACAGTCTCATCTGAAGACATGCTCCATCATACTCCCTGGGATAACCCAAAGCCCTGAAATAATTGAGGAAACAGGGGAAGCAACACATAAGATTAAGAGAATCCAGAAAATGTCATGTGAATAAAAGAAATGTTTAATATACCAAAAGTCATTAGATAAACCAACAAAAATTAGTATAATCCTTACCGCCCTTCAACATATCATGCTAATCACTCAAAGCAGAAAAGTCAAAAGATTTCATAAGAAGAAAACAAGAGATATGAAGAAAACGTGGAGTACAAAATATAAGTACTATTGAAAAGGGCAGATAGTTCACCTTCATCAGACACATCAGAGGTTCATTTTATCCCATTTTCACAATTTAGAAGATCATAAATAAGTATAATTAACAAGCATTGTAACTAATGTGACAAACTAGATAATATCTATTGTGTGTGCCTTCTGGTTTGATATTACTATTTATATGTTTCATGACCGTTATGGGACCATTCCTGAACTGAAAAGGGCGGCTCAGTGCGCAAGACTCCAGCCACTGTGACCCTCCCCAGACCACTCCACCCGGCCGCCCTTTTTATTCCTTAAAGGATCCCATAATGATCATGCGTTACACAAAACATAAATTAGTACGCTCAAAAAATTGTACAAATTTGAAAACCAAAGCAGATGTATTTGGTCAATTTCTTTTATTATATAGTTTATTAGGATGGAAAATTCTTTGCAGCTGAAATCTGGCAACCAATTGGCATCACAACAAGCACTCAAACATTGTTCTACAGGGGAACCACGTCAATAATTCCTTCAGGGATCATTAAAAGGTAATTTTGAAGGCAAGAATATACTTCAAACGTACACTTACAGAAATGGAGTAGTGTTTGGATGATCTTGATATAAGTATAACCAAGTTTGCATGAATTGAACATCAAATGGCTGGTGACCAAGAAGAAGACAAAACCCACGTGCAATTTTACATGATTGATAACTTACACAATAGTCTTTACCAAAAGTGATTTTAGACTGGAGAGCTTGGTTCCAAATCCAAGTCCTCTACACTATGAACCAAAAGTTAACAAAGACATTAGAAAGTTCTTACTTGTGTAATGGAGACCTGTTTTGTCATTAAATATTTACTTGTCTTTCCTCCCACTATTCTCATTCTACTTGTGGCTCAAACATGCATGCCTTTAATCACATCAATATATATGATTGATACCCCCATCCTTCTACAACCCTTGTTTTATTTCTCAAGGTCAATAAATACCATACTTTTTTCTGGAAGGATGTACACGATTGAATGTCTGTTGACAAACTTGTTGTACGAAGACAAATTCTCTTTAGCAATTTCTAATAGGCTATAGAAGGTAAACCGAGCACTAGAAACGCAGTTAATCATAACATTTTACAAGGGTCCTACAGTGCCCACGTGTTGAAAGCACTCGAATGAACTCAGCTGACAAAGATTTCTCCTAACTGTCCTGGGAATTTGACTAATTCTTGATGATAGTCAACCAATGCAATCCATCTCCTCTTTCTCAATACTTTAGCACAAAAAGGGCAGGTTATGGAAAAACAATTCTATCACTGCAGCCAATGGATAGCACATAAAATGCTAATTACAAGAGAATTTATATGAGCATGAATGAAGCTGTCAAATGCATGCTTAAATCCTGACTTCATCAGTGGCAACTATAGTGACTACATGCTTCAAAGAGTTTTTCAGCAATTACAATGGCCGTAAAGGCATTACCATAGTGCAAAGTTCACATCATGATCAGTGTAAACAATACAAAGATATATGTTGACATCATTCATAATAGGCAAAACAAATAGATAATGTGACTTTATGAACCTGGGCCCAACTCAAAAGATGAAGAAGCATCACCAAGACGAAAGATACATGTGTTGCTTTCTCTTGTTGAGCAACATTGCCATGATAATCAACACAAACGTTTCCTCATTCGATGCCAAACCCCTACCGACTATCACTAGGACACTCTGTTCACTATTAGATACAATATGTAACTACAAGCTTGGAAAGCATTTATTTTGCACTTTTAAGAACAATACCACCTTGCAGTCACAATGCTAAACCTTTACTATTCTAAAGGGTAAATGATTCTTTCATTGCCTCAAATTAGGCATCACACCTCACTAGTATCCACTGGTTCCATTTATACCCCCCAATCACATGAATTAATGCATATACAAATATTGTGGAATTTAAAACGGCATAGAATAAGAGCTCCCCATCAGATTTCGCATGATTCTGAGTCAAACAAAGCCCAAAAAAATTAATGACAAAGCTTCACAACAACTTTCGATTCAGAGATAAAAAAAAAAAAAAAAAACAGGAAAAAAAAAATCAGAGACAAAGAGGTGGATATAGAAAGAGATTAAAAAAAAGAGGAAAAAAAATTCAGAGACAAATAGGTAGATTTAGAAAGTACTGGTAACTAATTTCGCATAATCATCAGTCCAAAACAAAGCCGGAAAAAAGAAGAAGCAAGGATAATAAAGCTTTACAACAACATTCAATTCAGAGATAGAAAAAACAGAGGGAAAAAAAATCAGAGAGAGAGAGAGAGATTTACATAGTATTGGCAAGCTGAATATCAGCTTCGAGAGCTTTAAGAGAATCCTTGAACGACTTTCCCATGACAACGATTTTCCCGGAAAATTAACTCCCATTCAACAGCAGAAAAATCCCAGAAAATAAAAAAAAAAAACGGAACAAAATCTCCAAGTCGGTGGAAGTATGTGAAGGATTTAGAAACCAAAAAGGTAAAGGACTGATTTTTAACTCTGTAGATTAACAGTCGAAACAAACTGCCTCTTCTAACAAAGAAGAGACACTGATCTGATTTAAATAGAATTATAAATAAAAAATTAGTCCTAATTCGAATAAAAAATTATTTATTTATTTGTTTATTACGGTCTTATCCTTGGTGGATATCGGACAATAAATTTTTAAAGGTTCATGAACCTGACTGGACCAAGATGGAATGTTATGTGATCTAGCATAGATTTGCTATTGTGTGTCAGCCAATAGAAATTGACCACATCGGAAGAATCTAGTGGTAGAGAAGTCAATGGTCAGACGTGGCGATCTTATATTGGTGAATATGTATTGCTTCTCTTGGAGACGCATTGTAGAGAATAGCCCAAAACCGGCGGGCGCGGACCCTTGGTTTTTATGATTGGTGTGGGCCCACATATGAATGGGATGACATTTATCCACTTCTTAAGTGGGGCCTGGAAGGTTATTTAAATTATTGAATATTCGAGTTATAAGGCTGTTAAATTGTAATATGATAAGTTAATATGATTAAAATCGACACAAAATTAATATATTTGATGTGAATCTAAAAATTCCACGGTCTATTAATTTAGCATTTTTTGTGTTTTTCTTTCCTTTTTTTTTTTTAACTAAATTTTGCTGACAAGTGCTTACTTGCCTAATAATAAGTATAGCCTACTAAATTGATAAAAAAAGGGGGAGGGGGAGGGCGGATGGGATTAGAGTGAGGGAGGATATCAATTCGTAACAATAAATTATAATAACAATTGCTCTGGCACTGATATAAAATTGCGAAAAACTAGCTCTTTAAAATGGTAATTCTTAGGAATAGTTTAGTGGGTGCATTTGAACTTTAATAATTTAGAAATATTAGGTTTAATTCTTTCACACTTTTGTCTTTTTAGAGATATGTTTTAATTCAATTCAAGTTACGGTGATCAATTATTAAACTCGAGGAAATAATCAGCGCAAACTTTGACAACCTATAGCTAAAAAAAAAAAGTTACTCAAAATGGTTGTTTGAATTCAATTTTCGTATTGAAATTTAAGTTCTATGCATGCTTAAATTGGATTTTTCTTGAGTTTGAAACGCAAATTACACATTTATAGTGGGGTGGGGTTCAGTTTGTGGTTAAACTTGAATTTACTAATCTAGATTGGTTGGATTTAAATGGAAAAGTTTGTGCCTTCAAGTCATGCAAGAGATTTTTTTTCCAAACCTAACTCGAATACAGGAAATACATAACAGGTTGAATTTGATATGATCCCTTAATGATAAGCCCTTTTTTGATTATTTTATTTTACTAATAAAGTATGTGGATCTTTTAATGGTGCACCAACCTAATCCTATCTTTCAAGTTTCAACACATAATAATGCTCTTATCTCCAACTGAATCTTAGTAGGTTGGTGCTAACAGAACAAAAGAATCTACATCACCTGGTAGCAGAAGCTATCTGACATACTCTTGAAAGTATAGAAGCCCAAAGCCCAAAGACATAGTGGCATCTGTAGAGGATGGAGCCGCGCAAAAGCCTATGGCCCAACCCCCAACGCACAAAGGGTGAAGTGAAGCTAACCCCTCTCCGAGTAAAGGGCAAGGCTGTAGTATCCCTACGGTTTCATGCCGAAAAGTTACTCAGACTATTGATTTTAAAATTGATGATTTATAATTATTAGTTAAAAAAATAATATAGCAATGAAAAATAAAAAAAAAGTTGGATGAGATGATATAAGTTGGGTGGATTGTGTTTTACCCTAATAAACTATATTAATCCAATAGACCAGAATGTGCTAACCAAAAAGAAAAGTTATGTGTAGTTGCATTTGAGGGTGACCCAGCATTTCGTACAAATTCCCTAACAGAATATATTCTATTAGATATCACTGACTTTAAGATTGTACCTCGCCGCCTCCTCATTATACATTTTTTTCATATCTTCAATCAACGTCATTAACAAGTCAACCTCCTCCTGCACCATATAAAAATAATTATTAAGAAGCCTGAAAAAACTCCAATTATCATAAAAGAATAATGAACCATATTGACCACTTATTGCTACAAAAGCCTCAGATATTTATTCTTGTAGTTTATAAATTAAAATTTAAAAGATAAATAAAATAATTTTTATTATTCGCGATTAAAATTATTTTAAATTTTATTTTAAAATTAATCTAACTATTAATATTAACACTCTAATCTTAATAGGAAAAATAGATCTCTAAGTGTGTGCTTGAAGTGACTTTTAAAAATTAAATTTTATTAATATTTTTTTTAAAAATAGTGTTTGAAACTGTCCTATACTACTACCTCCACCATCACCACTGTCGTTCTCATCATCACCATCGTTATCACCACCGCTGCCACCATCACCACCACCCCCACCATCGTCGTCGTCGCCGCCAGGGTTATTGTCATCCACCACAGCCATCACCGTTTCCTATCACCACCACTGTCGTCCACTACCTCTCACCTCTACTACAAACCGATGTTTAAATTTATTTATCTCTTCTGTATGTTTGTGATTTAATTTTAGATATGCATACAAATATATTTATTGTTTATCATTTTTTAGTATTTTGTGCCTTCAGACACAGACAATAACTAGTTATTCTATAATGTTTGTTGCAATGTTTATATTAATTGCCTGTATAATAATATAACATATAATTGTAGTATTTCTACATCAATATGCCTGTAGATTGTTTTTGACAAAAAATATTGTTTGCTTAAAAAGTTTTATTTGGAAAAATACGGATGACTTACGAATGCGTAGTCTGAACAAATATTAAAGAGCACCGCTTACCAAACTTGCCACTATAAATATTTCCGAAAAACAAAGTGAACTAAGAAAACAATGGTTCTTGCAGTGCTATTGTGTAGATATTTCATTTAAGAATTCAACGTCTTTATAAAATAAATTTAAAAAGTCATTATATCTCGTGAATAAATTAGATTAGATAAGTCGTTATATCTCGTGAATAAATTAATTAGAATCTTGATAATTAAGTAACATATCCAACAGTAGTAGAATTAGACGACATTTTATCTCTATAAATAGAATTAAATTTCATTTATTCAATTGTCAAATAATAAAACACTAACATAGTTTTTTTTTTTTTGAGTTAATAACATTTTTCGTCTGTAAAGTATGTATTTTTTATTAGTTTAATTTTTATTATATCAATTTAGTCCTTAAAGTATTCAATCCATGTCATTTTAGTCTCTAATCAGACAATACGTCAAGTTTTTTACGGAAGTGATCACTATGTCATTTTTTTAAGTGTCGTAACATGTGTCAAACACGTGATCATTAAGTCAAAAATTTAATGATTCGTCTATATAAAAACAAAAATGACACGAATTAATTACTTGAGCAATCAAATTAATAAAATTTATACAGTAAAAACTAAAAAGATAAAAAATGGATAATTTAAGAATCAAAACAACTATTAACTCTCTTTCCTATCTTTAGTTTTTATTTTTATACACTCTGAAAAACCAACAGCAGCCACTCCGCTCACCTTGGGACGGTTCCAATTTTCCGTAGAAAAGGCAAAAAATGCAAGAACTTTAACTCCTTGACGGGACATTTTCAAATACTCTAAAATGAAGACACATGTTTTCGGTATCAGTAAATTTTTGTCACTATAATGACGACACGTACTCATCGAATCACAAGTCCCTGTTCCCCCGAGGTACTGTTCATAGGGATCAATGACACCTAGTACGTTACGTACCGACACGTATCCTTCAGTCGGGTATGAGTACATCGGTCCCTACATATACCACTCCCCTCGGTACTGAGATATACCCGTCCAGGATGATGTTCTCTGGTCCGACAGAGGCTATTGATGTACAGGTCACTAGCCTAGACTAGGCTAGGTTAGCCATCATGACTTCGTCTTACACAATTGACGTCAGAAGGCATAAGAAGGCAGCAGACACAGCCAATGGGGAATGGGCACGTGGCATATTGTGTCATATCAGAAACAACAGGACCGGATGCCCTCGCTGACACACGACTTGGGAAAGCAAGCGTTTAATTACTCCATTCCCTTGATGAGATAGCATTTAATGCGGTAAGGTTCGGAAGTGAAAGGTAATAAATGTCTCTAAGACTGGACATTTATTACATCCTTGTCGAGAGGAGCTCATTAAACATTCGGCAGGCTGATGACACAGCATTGGTTGCTCGGGATCCCGAGCAGTTAAAAGAGAAGACATTCCTTATAGGAATCAGTGCGCACGTTGCCTGTATCTAATGATCATCTACTGACCACACTGACAGCAATCATGAATTTTTGAGATATAAATACTCCTCAAAAAAGGCAAGACGAGATGCAACGAAAAACCTTTTCTCAAACCTATACTCAGTGTTTTCTTCTTCCCCTATCTCAAAAACTGACTTGATCGTCGGAGGGGATACGCCAGAAAACACTCCGGCGCCCTTCTAACTTGTCTTTCTCTGTTCCAAGAACCTCCCTCAGCCTTACTGGACCGCTTCCTTGATCCACGAAAGTCACCCATTATCGTTCCAGGCCACCAACGGATCTTAGCCTGTTCCAAATAGCAAGGATGACCATTGATTGACTGATTCGAGTTCACCACGGGAGAGATCTGTTATCGTGTTTATATTGTGCAAGATCCTGCACGCACAATCTGGTGCTATCTGTGGGAAACGACTAATTTTCCTAGTTTCTTCTCTATAAAGAACAGTGACCATGGTGAATACTCGACAAAAAGGGAAATGTCCCCAGCAAAGAAGTCTTGAATTACAAACTCCATGTCATAATTGAGGGAAGGATCACACTGATGGGAATATAAATGTCTCTATTCAGTCAAGATGGCTTACTCCTCAAACCAGTATGGACATCAGGTCAGGAGGATCCGCCCCCTTGGCTCGTCAACTT